ATGCTATGTACCCAAAATGCCTCGGTACGGTCGATAATAGAGAGAGCCCGCTCTTCCTCTCGAAATGTTCTCACATCGCCTCGCATACAAAGCCACTGACAGGGAAGTATTTCTCACTAAATCCCACGGTGGGGAGGTTGGTTAGGAAATTTAGAGGACGAAAAGCAAATGTCTGGCGCTTTAACCGGGTCAATGGGTACGGAGGATCCACCCAGGGGAGTTAGGAAACCCTGATTCCAAACCAATGGTGCAAATGGACTCCGGGATCCTGAGGGGGCGAATAGCATATGAATCTATTGTTGGTCATCGACTACCATGAGACGGCATCTTCTAACGTTTCTCCACTACTTTTTGAATTAGAACTATAGGTCAAAGGCTCGGGAAGTGACCCCCTAAGAACACCACCTACTTTGATTTGGGCACTTGGGTATTATCCCAGCTCATACACAAATCAAGGATAATTAATGCTGAAAAAACTTCTCTTGTTTCAACGCTCATTCAGAAAAGTCATATTCACAATCATTTGGTTACAGTCGTTTTTGTTTCTTTTGTACTTCATTACTTATGTACTCCTTATTCTCACTTTGCGTATTTTATTCTCCAACTTATACAGAATTTCGCCTATGGTGGAAACCCTGTCCTATCTAAACGATCTCAAGTCACTGACTGTTCGAGAGTGGAATGCTACCACTGATTACGAATACTAAAACAGTCTTTCTAGAACCACGTGTGCCATTCAAACTGGCCTCTTTCAACGTTCGCATACTAAAGCAGATCAGACAACAGATAGGGTTGGCTATGTCTTTAGAAAGCTTCAACGTCGATGTCTGCTGTCCATCTGATACCTGTATTCAAGACTCTAGTAGAGTACTACGAATTGGCACTCCATCCGCCACTTCGCAAACCTTGTTTTACTTGCGTTTATCCGGGAACCCTGTGGCAACTTCGTCTCGTTTTGCTGGTGTTGGTGTCGCACTAAGCACCAGCGATGAAACAGCACTGATCTATTGGATCTCCATTAACTGGGTGTCTACAAGCTCCTTACATCTCATTGTATCACGTCGGTCTATTGCGGGTGACCGCGAGTTTGACCATAAACAAAGATTGTTACCTAATAAAATAGTGCGAAGCTTGCGTAAGGACCGAGAAGCCTGGTGGTCGGAGCTTGCTAACGAGTTGGGAAAAGCGGCTGAATCTGGTAACCTCTGGAGGCTTTTTCAACTCATCCGAGTCACTGATAGCAAGGAGTCTGGTGTGAGTGAAACAATCTGTGAAGTTAACGGGACGTCAATCAGTGACATGTACCGACATCTTGGACGAGGGGCAGTTTAGCTGGTCTGATGCCCCGGGACATCGACCAAATTGTCCTACACTCCATGGCCCGTGACGACTGATCCATCTAACGATGTGAAGTTTTCAAGAGCTCCAACTCTTGAAGCCCCACGAGTCACCAGGCCCAGATGACTTACCTCCGGTCATTTTCAAAGATGGTGGCGACTTACTGGTTATGGTACTGACTAAGTTATTTACAAAGGTCGGGTAATTAGAGAGTGTTCCAACATCACGGAATGAGTGGATAGTTGTGTTATCTTTAAAAAGGGTTCACGCCTTTTATGCAACAGCTATTGGCGGATAAGTTTACTTCCGATTGCGTCCAAACTATTGACTTACGCCATACTTCGTAGATTGTTCAAAACCTGGGAAATATTGACTAATGAGGAGCATGCGGGTTTTTGTTTTGGTTGAGGATGTATTGATTATATCTTCACCCTCCACCAAATGTTAGAACACCGTCATACTTATCACAGGTCAGCAATCGTGTTTCTTGACATTAGGAGCGCCTTCGGTTTGTTGGAGTGAACTGTTCTCTGGGATTGTCTATAGAGGAAGGATGTGTCTGAGTCTATTAACATCTTGAAATCCTATATACTAACACCTCAGAGTGAACGCACACAACCGCCTCACTCCACTGGTACATTAAATCAATGAGGCTAAGCACGATCGCCCAATCTCACCATTTTTCTTCGAATTTGCTATCGATGATGTTCCAGAAACAGCTCTGGTGGATTTAGGTAATGGTGGTGTGAATCTGCTGTCTGGAGAACGACATTGAGTATGCGGATGATATTGTCTCACTGTTCGATGATACTCAAGCCATGCAATCAGCATTTTATCAGTTGGCAGCCAGTGTCCGTAAGTATGACATGTACATTGCACCGTCCAAGTGCAAAGTACTTCTACAAGACTGGCAGGACTCTAATCCTACACTCACCCTCGGTAGTGAGCAGAAGGAAGTAATCGAGAAGTCCGTGTATCTGGGTAGCAGCATAAGTGCTGGTGGTGGCGTGAGTGATGAAATCAGTTCAAATATAGTGAAAGCCGGAGCGTCTTATTCCAATCTGGATCATCTTTGGCGTCTTCGTGTTGTTAGTTTGGCTGCAAAAGATCGGATCTACAACGCGTTGGTGAGAGCAGTTGTTTGCTCTATGCTTGTGAGGCCTGGCCTCTCCGAGTCGAAGATGTTAGACGAGACTCTGTGTTTGGTCACAGTTGTCTCTGAAAGAATGCTGACATCCAGTGGCAATGCCATGTTAATAACGCAGAGGTTTGGCATTGGCAGCGATGATAATCCAATTAGTGTCATTATCTTGAAACGTCAATTTCCGTGGTCCGGACATGCTCTACGAAGATCGTCCCAGAGAATCCCAAGTCGTGCATTAATTGCCGACATTGGGACTGGTTGGAAAAAGCGAAGAGATGGTCGATGTATCACATGGTGTCGTAGTATGAAAGAAAGTTGCACAGGACTGGCTTTTGTTGGTCCTTCGTGACTACCCGGCTGTGGTCCTAGAGACGGTGCAACACAGTGACTAGAGACGTTATCAGACATGACTCAGAATAGAAACCAGTGGTGATCCTGCTGTAACTTTCTTTTACTTCATAAAACTAAATGTAACTTCTTTGACTGAACTCTTTCTGGTTGTATTTTTACTAACCGAACTGCTTTTCGCTATAATGATGTTTTTACTTCACTTCTATCCTTTAATTTCTGTTCATTGTTGTTCTTCCTTTTATTATACGCATTTTAAGCCTTTTATCTCTTCACAACCTCATTATTATTATGTGATGCATATGTATTTGGTGTCCTCTTTGTACCAATGTTTGTGTTCAGATAAACTAATAAATCGATGTAAGAAGAATTTGTATTTTACAACCTCAAAACCTCCTACCGGTTTTTTGGTCGTAAACAAGAAATTTGCTGTGACCAATGCCTTTGTCAAGAAGTTGGTCGTTCTGGATATAAGCAAATGGATAGTGCATGAGGCTTTCTGCATGTATTGTGACAGCATTCTCGATATAGACGTTGCAAACTGAGTCATTGTGAATAACTAGTCTGTCATCAAGTGTGCAGTCTTGCATTAATTGGGTGTTATACACGAAAGTTAATTTCCTTTAGATGATTTTTATGCAACTAAGGAATTAATTGCTTCATCTAGCGAATATGATACCCACCTAAAGATCCAATACCACCTTAATTGACAATTAATTTCCTATATTCCCCCAAAGTTCGCCTTTATTTTCATGTTTTACTGTGCTCGAAACATTTTTGTGGTATTCTGATAAAGTGTGTTGTTTCAAATGGCATTCAACTGTTGAGTTATATTTGGGGTTCTTCCTAAACATTCTTTTGCCAGTCATTATAAAGGAAATCGTGACCTTTGTTATAGTTAATCTCATATATTGTAGTTTGTTATTCTGTAATTACACGACTAATAATCTTTCACAAATTAATCCTTATCAATCAACTATATTTAATACCGCATCATACAAACCTGTTTGAAAAACAATGGGTTTCATTTCGATATCAAAACATAAGCGTTTGGGAGTATGTTATTACAAATTGTTGGGAAGAAACATAGAAAACCTTGTACCATACCCCATAACTTCTCACTTAGCTAACTGAATTGGGATTTAGAATTTCACCAATAAATTATTGATCTTTCTTTCCTAAATATGTCAGTTTCTGACTGTTCTGCTTTTTATGACAAGGTCATTTGTGGTAACTTGTACTGTATTGTACAGAACGTTGGAACTTGTCAGTATATGTCGGGTGATTGGTATTTGTCAAAACAAATATCCGGGGCCCCAAATCTTTCTAATTAGAAATGACGTCCTAAATACAAATTGCCTTATCATCTTATTCGGAGACTTGCAGTTGTTGACTACGTGCACCGTGTGGGTCACTTCATTTTGAATTACATGTTTGCTTTATTAGTCAAAATATAACAAAACAAGGTGGGAGTAAACAATTGGCAGATCTGCTCGCCTTCTTAACGTTGCATAATTCAGCTATTGAAGTCTATGGTTAACCTGTGATGATGATTGTGATCAATCGTAGCCGTAAGAAATTAAATAGCCAAATAGTCAATCAAATAGAGTGCCTTGATGCTACCATTAAACCCAAATGTGATCTACTTACAATGAGTTTGTGAAGTCAGGTGCAACCAGCCGATAATATGATGATACGAAGAGTGTAATAATTAATTACTTCTGGGTTTCTGGTATTAATAGTCTAGTAACCAATATAAGGCCAATAAATATAGGATACTAGATACTTCAAATGGGATAGGTACTACCGAATTTCGAAACCCTAAGAACATGATAATGAATACTTGCTGTACATGGTAAGTGATTTGTGAAGGTAAAACTAAGTTAACCTTATAAGCACATTATGAATGGGTGGTTCTATGCCAACTAAAACTTTTTTGACACCCCATGACGGAACGTGACTCCAAAATATGTATTTGATTACATTAGCAGTTTTTATTACATTAGATTGCATAATACTAGGTAAATTACGAAGCTTAGAAACATATTACTTTTTATCGTTTCCTTAGCTATAATGAGTTGTCCGATTTGTGAAAATCGTCAACTTATAGAAGATGAAAACACTGGACAGTTGATTTGTTCAGAATGTGGAACTGCAACAGGTGTTTATAGAGGGGTTACCCAAGTATGTTATTTTCTAGAAAAATCTGTTTGTTCCCAGACCATTTAATCGTTTATCTTAGCCTATTTAGAGATTACAGAATGTTTTATATCTTCACACGCTTTATTTAGTTAGTGAAGGTGTACTGAAAGTTCTTACAAGCTTATTAGATTTCGTCAAGTATGCGAATTACTGTACTTTACTAACTAGTATTAATATTGTTCTGTATCAAGATTGAGAGAGTTACTGATATCCTTTCCACAGTCAGTGATTTGTATACAACGTAAAACTTGGAAGAAATATGAATAGATGCATGTTGTCACATTTCACACCAACATAGCTATTAAAAATTAACGAAATAAATACAGCGTGAGTCCAAATAATGATTGCATCAATAAAAGAACAACTAGGCTTGAAGAATATAGTTTAACATGGACTCATTAGATTGGGGAATGATAAAGTGCAATGATTTTATAGTTCATTAACTAGGAAGTAAAGTTTAAACGCATCTAATTCGGTCCAGTTGATTATGGCTTTCAACTAGGAAGTCTGTATCCCTGCCTACACAACGCAAATCAGTAGTCGTTGACTTTATGGATTGATGTCACTTCTCAGTTTGATTGTCCCTAGCCTTTGCGTCCCTACATAAGTTTCATCTGGGTTACATACTCACCTTCGTAACCTATCGTGGTAAAACGCTAGGTCTTATCAATCTTTTCTAATCATTGTGTCAGATGTAATGCGTACTGACCGTAAGTCAACGTAACACAGTGACCATAACGGATTTCTAATCATTAAACTTCCGTTAGTACCTAAGAATAAAGTTGGTGTTGTTTAATGTTTAGGGATCGATATATTTTTAAAAATGCTGTTTCGATATTCCCTAGATGTTTCATACCAATGAACGTTCTCTTACCATGAGTTGTTCCTTCAAGGGTCGAATTGATCATTCTCCCAAATTGTAATTCATTGGTTCTTTATCTAATCTTTTGTATGCTTAATATTGATGAGTTATTGATAAAAGTTCATCATTCAATTTTAGTCTGTTCGTCAAGTTAAGATTTTTCTGTTGTCATGAAATAATTAAGCGGGCTGACATATTTCTATCTGATGAAATTCAGATAATAAGCATATGTAGACGTACTCACTGTTTGTTAAATAGACTGGTGGTTTAGGTTTTAAATCAACAAGTTTTTAAAAGCAACTCACTAGGAAAAATTTCAAGTTAGAAAAAATACCAATGAATGGTCAAGTACTTTAGTAGTAAAGAGTTTTCTGCGCGTTAAATAGTTCATACTTACTTTTAAACTTATCATTTAGTTATATGTATTAAGCTTTACTGTACTTTTAAATCCATATTTTTAGTCCCAGGATTTCTCTGAAACCCGCGGATTACGAGTGATTCAAAAGACTGAACTTATAGGTAGTCAATCCAACCAGGCAGCTACAGATAACATAACGGACACATCGAGATTTGTAAAAGTTGAGTCGGATAGCACACATGACCAAAATATGAATTTTGTTTGTCGTGAAGACCTGTTGAACACATTAGATGATGATCTCTTCAGCGCGAATGAGGTGAGCTTCACTAATCCTATGCAGAAAGAAAAGTGCTTTGAAAGCCATCGTCCTTGGCGGTTATCTGAACCTTTCACTGTGAGTTTATTCTTATATTTATCTATCTTTAGCCCATGCAAACGTGTTGTTTGTTGAAGTAACAGCGTTTCATTGTCACAATTATATTATTGACCGTAAAGTTAATTGTGGTCATTTTTCATGGATCTGGAGTTTTGGATCACAGTGAGATGTGTCAGAGTAGTGTACAATTGGAGATAATTTATTTTTTCTCCTAAATCTCCCGACGATCTGAACATTGATAGTAGGTGTAAAGATATGTTATATAATCTTTGAACCCCTAATATAATATGTTCATAACTAAATTTTTTATTCATTTGACAGACTATTCGATCTTAGATACAATACTCAATGTACTGTGATTAAAAACAAAACGCTATGAAGTCATTAATTGTTAGCTAAGATTATGTAAGTGTAGAATACTAGGATTCTACTCTAAAAGTGTTAAAACTTGTGAAAAATTAAATTATGTGTTGTTCAGTTCTGTATTCATATTATATCTTATAAATAAGCTTTAAATTCAATAAAGGCAGAAATGAAATTGTTCACAAAAATGTTCATCAATCTTAATTTTTTTTAAAGGGCTAATTACTACTAAAAAAGAGTGTCGAATAATAACTAACCATTTTAAACAGATTATTTACTTAAACAAAACAAAGGATTATACAGACTAATCCTGCTAACCTTATTAATTTCAGTCATTATATCTAATTTAGTGTAATATTTTTTCTTATTAAGTAGTGAAGCCATACATTATTTAATTAAGTTATTAAGATAATATCATTTTGACAACTTCATAATAATGTTTCTTTTTCAAGCACATTGTTTCTAAAGATATCTCTTGAATGAGATTCAAAAGCAAGAAATAACTCATTCACTTCATTTTAGCCACCAATCATGAGACGTATTATATTAACCATGGTAGTCAGTGAAAATAAACAAAAATAATATGTATGTGTACATCTTATCGTTTCTAAAAGTGGCCCATTAATTGTCTACAATGAATTTAAATTCCCATTTTGGAATCTTTTTATACTTATTTAAGTTGACCCTGTCTATTTATATTTAATAACATTAAAAAATATAGCGAATGTAAAAGTGTCTGATTCCAAAACGTATCTAATGATTCTCTGTGGTTATTCAACTGAATTACACTCGTTCACTAGCTCTAGAGTTACAAATTAGCTAAAGTACTTGACTTTTAACCAATACGATCCAAGTTTAAGACTCTGTTGGGTTTCAGTTTCATGATCAAGCTGTACATTTGTTCATTGTAAAATAATTATATTTCCGTCTGGTACGCTAGACTTTGAGAAACAAGTGAACTAAACTTTATTTAGTTATTGTTATCTGAGTCATTGTTAAGTCTCATTTCTGCATCATAGGTTGTTGTATATACAAAGTTATTGTTATCACTTTACAGTTCATAATGAGACGTCAAGCAAATTGTTTGGCTAAAGAATTAAATCTTTCTGTGGAACAAAAAGTATCATTTTGTGATACTGTTTGGAACATATGGCTCCACTATTTGTCTATAACTGGCGAACTTGGCTCTGATGCTTGGGTAAATGCAGCTCTTTTATTGGCAAAGTCGCTTAGTGAAGTACTTGAAAGCAAGATGATTCCAGAAGAAGAGAAGCCTACCAATAAAATATTACGGAAACACAAAACATCGGATCACTGCTATAGGATTACCCAGCGTGAACACGAATGGGAGCTCATAAAAACTCGTCTAAGTCAATTTCAGTGGGTTGGTTGGGGTCTATTGTATGAACCAGGGGAAGGTCGGGAAATAGCTAATATCCTAAATTTGTCTCGAAAAAAGTGAGTTTTGAATTTAGACCTAGTTCAGTGTTATGTCACTAAAGCTAAAAATAGTTAAGTTTCATTTTACCCAGCTATTTTAAAAACATCTACTTTCAACAGTTAATTGCTTAGTAATATTACGCATGCTTACTGTACATCTGACCACAGAATCGCTTACACAGTTGCTCTGAAATATGCGAACAGTGTTGAAAATGCACCTGTGACCTATGCATGTCTTTTATGTTCATAGACATGTTTTACAGTCATAGTGAAATACGGTGGTTGGAAAAATCAGAGAGGTGGTCAGTTTATAACTTGGTGCTGGGATATGAGAGAAAACTGTACAGGACTGACATGTTTGTGCTTCTCGAGACTCTCTGGTTGGGGTTCAACAAATGTCACAACTCAGTGACTTGAGACGTTATCAAACATGGCTCAGAATAGAGGCCGATAGTGATCATGTAGTTTTTTTGCTCTCTTTTAAAACCGAGAGAAACTTCTGTAATTAAAAATATTCTTTCTGATTGGAATTTTCTTAACGGAACTGCTCGTATTATTCACTGCCCTCATCCACTTATTCTTATTTGTATATCGTTTTTGACCATACTCACCCTCCTTTCTCTGTCTATTCGCAATCTCAGTGGATATTTATTTTGGTCTCATTTGTACCAATATATGAGTTTGCTTAAATAAACAGTAGTATACTCGCCCCTTGATTGACAAATGACACATCATACACCACAAGTGGTCCAAATTAACATAAGCTAAATTAACTTTGTGAATTCATATTTGGAGTTTGATCAGCTACTAATACAATAGGGCTGATGAAACTTTCAAGGTAAGTGAAGTGGTCAACTCACTCCACTACCTTACTTTAGATGACCGATCGAGGCGTTGACACGAACTAGTCCTGAGACAAAATTTTGCAGTTGCATGGAGAGAAACGGATTCCAAACAGGACTATATTATTTGCGTACACCAGATCAAAGAATGAGTTTCCAGGGCGTAAATCAATTCTTGAGACGTTGGATGAAATTGCAATTTTTATAAGGACATCTCTGATGAAATTCGATAAAACTAAGTAAAATGGGAAACACTGACAAACGCCACCTGAGGTTGACATTTTTGATGAAAGTCCGTCATAAGCTTTGGTTTGGGCGTTAGTATTCGAGAAGACAACCTTTACATGGTTTATGGGCTTCTTAGTCAAAGCCAAGGAGGTCTGATAGTTAAAATAGAGAGAATATTAATGAATGAAGAAGCATATTACTTATGAATAAGATGAACTCGAGTACTGTCAGTACTGTTTGAAGACTTTTCATTTCCAGTCCCCTCACACTATGGAAGGATATTTCTTTATGAATTACTTGTAAATGACAAAGTTGGTAGATATTTTGACAACCTAGGACTGTGACCACAGAACCGAAGGTACAGCCGTTTGAGGACTGATCATTAATATTTGTAATCAAGTTGTAGCAACGCTCACAATTCACGGATCGGTTAACTGGAATTTAAGTTCAATCACATCATTGCCAATATTCTGATTCCTTTGATCAGCAAGATCTAGCAAACACTGTGGACTCAATGAACTTGGTTTATTTTCATTTAAATAGTTGGGTTGGTCTGAAGACGTATTCGATTATCTCGCTTTATCTATATTTCTCACAATATTCACAAAGCAAACACGTTTTTAAGTAATTCTTGGGATATTTAAAATAAGATCAAAACAAAAGATATATTTTTAAATAGTAGTAATTTCTCAATAGTGTGGTACCATAGTGAACAACTTTCGTTACAAAGCTATTCTTTAATAAAACTACAAACTTTTCGTGGTTTACTTCGTCTTTACTTCAGAAAGGCATCGAAAAAAGTTGACAAAAGTAAAAAATCTAAACGACGTGGACGTAAACGGAAAGACTGTAGTGAGTCTGACTCATCAGAATCCGTTTTGTCTGATAAAAATCCTGATGACGATGCTCAATCCGTTCATTCATCTGATTTGAGAAACCCAGATGTTCACGATTCGGACCTGTCCTATCAACCTAGAGCTGTGGAATCGGAATTATTCCCTAATAATGATTGGACACAAGAAATACCACCACAGCATTTCGCCAAACAACTGTGAGTTTTATTTTAGTCATGATTTAAACGTTCAAATGGGTGTTTCCGCTGAAAATTTGATATTATTTCTAAACCGTTTTAAATCAGAAAGTGAATTTAAGTTTGCTTTATTATATACTCCTTGGACACGATACTTCACTTGACTGATCCTAAATCAGAACATGAATCGAGAGCATACGAAAATATATTCTAAAAGTCCGAATAGCAAAAGTTAATACTGTTAAAACATAAGGGTTTGTTGAAAATTTACACAGAAATCTAGTCTTTTCAATCCAGCCTCTGGGAATAATTGGTTGAAATTAGGCTAATCATCATGCTCCGACCTGATTGTAATTCATGCACGCGTCAATCGAGTCTCTGCCTTGTGAACTAGGGTGTTTTGTATATTTTGGCATTTCTCAGCTGTATATATCAATAAATTTTATTAAAATCATACCTAGTGGCACTGCGTTTATTAAAAATTACGTCGATATATCAGCTATTTATACCTTATCATAATTATGTATCATTACCAAGGTTTGATTTGATGATTTCGACTAAATTGAGCATTGGGTAGATTGTTATAAATAAATAATATATTTGTAATATCCCAATGAGTAGAAAATTAGATTTCCTGACGTTTCGTGACTTAGTGTAAGTCACTTCTTCAGAGAATAAATAACCAAATTAAAATTAATCCAAGTTTAAATAGTACAACGGAACAATAAGAATAATATTTGATCAATCAAAAACAGGTCTGAACAAGTTAATGTCATATCAGTTGATATATCAACTATTTATACCTTATCATAATTAACTTTTGAACTCTACCAACTCGGAAGATATGATTATTCATTCTATAATTGTATGAGTTACCTCTGGATCCTAAGTTTCTCCTGAAAGCTGTTAATCTTTTACTATACTTAAAACAACTGTTCTCGCATCACTTGGCAATGGGCTTTAATGATGGTGTACTCTGGGTGAAGTCAATTTTCGTTGATTGACAAGATGTTTTATTTCAAGAGGTGATTGCTATCTTATTAGTCTTGAATGAACTATTTAGTGGATTAGTGATATAAGTCAATATAACTGATATGTCCAACCAAAGTGATCTGTGATTGTTCAGGACGTTCAAACACACATCTGATAATCCAAATATCAGTGGCTATTTATATTGTGTCGTATACATTTTCTCCCCTTTGTATGTCAGTGAATTCTTGCCTGAACAGTATTGTACTATACGAGACCACACACTGCTAAGTATTCAGATAAGCTATCCTCCATTTTTTTGACTAGTTGACAATATTTTCCTAATCAGCTGAGAGGAAATTTTATTTTATAATATTTGGTTCTTTTTTATATGAGACCGTGTTCATTGTGTAACACTATCATTATATCATTGTTAATTTCGAGAATATGGCTGTGCTATAGATTTGGCACTACCAATTAAGTCACTTGTTGAAGTCATCTATGACTTATTTTGATATATTCCAGTGTAGTTATAGATACTGCTATTTATGCAGTTACTTGATTGAATTTTTCGAACAGTTGTATTGTAGATTAATAACCAACGTTTAAACCTACTTGTTTATAATTTATTTCCTTATTTAATCAGATCTCAGTCACGACCGATAGGTCATTTACTTTGGCGTGGTCAAATTGAGGGTGGTTTTCACTGTCGTGTGTTAATGGAGTATAATGTGGCTATTTTGTTTATCGCTTGTTTAACTACTTGTCCTGTACGAAATGCAGTCAATCCATTATTTTCTTCACATTTTATAAATCCAGATTTCCCAAATAGTCCATGTGCACTTACTACAATGATTACTTTAAAAGATTTACAAGACCTATGCATTAATAATCGTTTACCTTTCATATCTGTAAGTTTCACTATGTTTTCATAATCTTCATGTGCATTGTGTAATTTGACAAAATGCGTTATTAAATTAATGAATTTACAAAATATTTTTCAGCATAGGGTTGTGGAGATAGTTGAATTAAGATTGTTATCATGAATGGATCAATGTCAGACCGCCAATGACAACCTGGAAGCACTGGACGGTCGTTTCGTCTTAGTATGAGACTTCATGTTTAGATAAGTCTCTTAAAGAATATCATTAATATTCTCTTATTAATTATCTATGAAATTCATTGTTTCCATTTTCATAAGACGAAAAGAGATTTAAGCGAAAATTCGTGACAGATTATGCATTGACCAAGTAGTCGTAAATATCCTGCTTTATGATTCTTGACATTAATCAATGAGTTGTAACTGTAGTGTTGTATTTCTTGATATAAATTTGGTAGTACAATACTCCTTCTTTGTTCGTTACTCAACAGATCTAGAATCTCACTTTTTAAATATTTGATTTTAACATTCAACATCATTTCATTTATCGCGGTTAAGGTAGCCAAGTAGAAATAGTTGCATTACTGTTATTGGGTAAACAGATATTACTGAGTAAAAATGATTATGTCAGATTCGATCATTTAGAGAAAATTTGTTGGTTAAGTTTCAGAACAGAACAATACAACCAACTATGTATCGTACAATCAGTTACCTTAATAAATCTAAACAATACGTCCTATTGTTTCTCTTCTGATTTTCGGTACAATTTTGAACATTAATCTAAACTTCACTGACTAAAGTATGTCCAATCTTTGTTTATAATTTTATTATTCCTTGTTATTTTAGTCATTTTAAAGTCAGAGGCCACGAAGTTGTATGAATGTCCTTAATTATGTAAATTTTGTTGTTTTCCATTGTTTAAACTATATTATCAGTTTCAAACGGTTAAAGTTTCGCAAACCCAGTATGTTTTATTCAATGAACTATCAGCAAATACGTCACTATTATCCAACTTTTACGTCTGACAATATTACTCATAACACAGTCATTTCGTACGTTATGCTAACAGCGTTTAGTAAAAGTGTATTTACTGGATGACGATTCATTTTAAATTACTCTAGCGTGTTTTTTTCCTACAAGCGATTAAACTGGTTAGTATTATAGCTTTAATCCAGATCATGCTTTGTCAGTAATGTGTTTACAGCTAAAATTACTTGAGTAAAACAGTATCTAACTAGAATTATTCATTCACCTACTCTTACGAAATTCCCTTTTTGTGTGATTTGTTCGGCGTTTTCTTTCGTTCCTACTCCAGTAACCATATAATTTTCAGAACAAATTGAAATCACTTCAAACCACCAATAAGATTTCTATTTTATTTCAGTGCATTTATTCTATTCTTTTATGTGGATTTTACGACGTAGGGAAAACATGTTTATTACTAGTTACCTAATTTCTATGTTCAAATTTCACAGCCTAACATCATTTACTTGTCAAATATAAAATAAGAAAGAGTAGTTCAGCGAAGAGTTCTCTTTTGGGCGAATTCATTTTCAAAGCTGTACAATCTCAAATATATATACTTATTTTACAGGATGATAATAATTATAATAATACTGATCATAAACTTCTGTTAGACATGGTGACAGTTTACTATCAGTATTATTATAATTATTATCATCCTGTAAAATAATTATATATATGTATTTGAGATTGTACAGCTTTGAAAATGAATTCACCCAAAAGAGAACTCTTCGCTGAACTAATCTTATTTAAATATAAAATATACGAAAGCAGATGAAACTAGTTATTTGATCATTTCCATTTATGTTTAGGTATATTAAGCGTGTATAACTGTTATCGCATTTTTTGTTTGAATGACTATCATAAGTTAGGTTAAGAGTAATTAATGACCTAGTGGTTTTGTTAAACCAGTAGCAAAATACGATGATTGAAATGAAGCCAACATTTAGGTTCAGATTTAGTAAATCAAACATCGGCACTACAATACATCCTAATCTGACGACTCACACAAATTTTCCTAGTACTGGATCTAATTTATAGATGTCTAGTAAGCTTCTTATGTAAGTATATAAGTAGCTTTAATGACTTCTAAGATAAGCATGGTTTACATCATCTCGATGAGCTTTGTTATTTTGAAAACTGACACTTGATCAACCATTTTATATATTTTTAGGTTCAAAGTTTATTTCCTCCAGGGGCCTTTTGCATTCGTGATCAGAGTCTACTAAGTTTAATCCGACGTCATAGACCTCCGGAAATCAATCATTTAGCGTATGCAACTGCTCGGATGCGTGAATTTATTGGGTTGAATCATTTCCCAAAGTAAAAATATTTGTTTTGTCTCAATAGTATGTTATAGTTTTACTATGGACTTCATGATTACAATGACTTTTATATCTGCATCTTATTCCGGGAGTATCTTTTACCATTCAGGTGTAGATGACTTTCAGTTGATGTTGAACTTTCTTTCTACACAACTTTGGGATTAAATGAGTTATTTTTATAGCTTGATATAAGTTGAACCTCAAAATATTATCGTTTTTAATGTAGGATTTAATACCTTTAAGCGGAGTGATTGTTTTTTTAAAATCGTTTTTGAGTGTTTCCATGATACTTGTTTAGAAGTCTTACTTTCTACAACCCTGTGTGTTGTCCATTTATCTTCAATTTTACTTCAAACGGACTTTTCGGTGCTATTATAGATGACATCTGATCCGCTATCAGTAATAATGAATTTGCAGTGACTATTATTGTTGTCTTATCTTCATGGTAATAGATCTAGAGAGCATTTCAAAACTCTGTGTTTTAGTCGTTATATTTGGGTGATGCCTGGATGAATCGCCTGAATATTCTAAATACTAGCTACCGTGATACAATAGTCAGTCAGTCAGTCAGCTACAACGTAGGACCAGGCACATATATACATCGGTCGAAGTTGTCATACCGCATAGCACAGCAAGATGAACACCGGATTCATAGAAGTAGTTAATTCAATGGTGGTAATATATAAAAGAAAGATTGCATATAAGGATATAGCACTGGAAGAAAGAATTAGTTCGTAGAAAGAAAGATGTGAAGTGATTTTAATCTCTTAGTTTAAGGGAAGACAGGGAGTGTATACACCGACGCCATTGTGATCGATTCTGGGCCATGTCACCAAGTCTCCAACCATTGGTTACAATAGTCACGCGGACCCCAACCAAGTAGTGACACAATAAAAAAAGCAGTATCTAATTTTCTCATACAGTTCTGGCTAGTTCAAAAAATGAACATTTAAATACTACTTAAATGATTTGTTAGATCTACCAAATAAGATTAATTAAACCCAAAGTTATTCCCATACACATAGTTCCCTTTATTATCTTAAAGAGAGCAAGAACAAAAGTTGGTGCAGAATAATATGAATTCATTTTATTTCGTTAGGTTCTCATCGACTACTTTTTCTAATTCCATGAGTTCTAATCACTATTTCAATGTTCTCGAACTTTCCCTCCCAAACTTTATTTATTCGAAACAAAATTTTATGACCCCATTAACTCTATCGGAATCTTCGCTACATCATGAAACATATATTCATCCTTAATCATCCTCTTATGTATAAGTATGTCAATATCTGTAATAACTCTGATTTTCAAATACTTTAGGTTGTATGCAGCTAATGAGAACCTAACGAAATAAAATGAATTCATATTATTCTGCACCAATCTTTGTTCTTGCTCTCCCCAAAGTTAATCCACGTAAATTTGTTTTGCAACGCCCTTATTAACAGAACGAAAAATTAACGTATTCAAGCATCAACAAAATAGTAGCTTAAAAGCGTTTTTATAAACAATGAAAGAAACTTTAGGAGATTCAATAATGAAACACTAAATACGAAATTGTACGAAATAAACATTAGCTTGCTTTTATGTTTGACTTTTGATTGTCGTTTGGGAAAATCGACATTTGTAGACGAATATCCTTATGCTATTGTGGATGGGTAAGGGTAACCCTCCTGAATTTCTGAACATCGAGAAGCATTTATGTCAGTTTCGTAGTTTATTTATTTATATGGATCATTTCTTTGTTACAAGTGTTGTTGTGTCCAATAAAGTACATAGATCTTGTTAAGTTTAGGTTCCTATTGACCTACATTAAACCGCAAAATTAAGTTTATTATCAATTGCACTTGGTACTTGCTAGTTCTGTTTCGAAATGTCACCTATTTCATTTACGATTTACTGTGCACATCTATAATGCAAAACGTTAATATGATTATTCAAACTGAATTTCTAGTTGGTAAGTAACTCCGCCTGGGTTCGGTCACTCATGGAGTAGTAATGACATATTAAATGTACATGAGCAGACAATTAAAAAAACATGCTAGCTAAGCAATAAGTTTTCACCTCAGTAATTTTTGTTACAAAACTGGTTCTTGGTAAATGTTTACTTCTGAACACTTTTGAGGTGTTCACTCTGATGAAACAGCTATATGTTATTGTCCGGAGAAAGTTATAATATTAAAATAGATTGATTCAGCTGTTCACTCATTTAGTTAATCTTAAACTGGATCAAAATTGATGTCTTTATACCGTATCAATTCACGATGTCGTGAAGTTTGCCTTTTCTATTATTTACGTATAGATATCCATTGAGCTGGTTGGTGCATCGTCATATAACCGCTCTAGGTCTTCCGGTGGTAATGCATGAATTTGTACGACCTTTGTTAGAGAAACTACAGCAGGAATGTATTCCTGTTGGTAAATATATATACCGCTCTTTGTTAAGTTCAATCCCCTGGCCCAGGGTCGTTCGACCGGAAGTGTTTGCAATGGCATTAGTTGTTATACTGTTACGTCTTGTATTCAAATTCGATGATACCTTTGAAGTAAGTTAACCTTGAATATCATTGGTAAATTGGTCGTAGATCAGTAATATTCATTTCATGTTCCGATTTCATTCGTTGTCTTCCACTTTGTCATTTATAGTCAGATGATAATATCAACAAAACTGCCAAGTTACTCGACAATTTTCCACTGGTTATCGCAAAAACTGAGTGTTCGGCTAGTGTTAGCGGGACATAGACATAACAGTTAGACTCATGCCAGACCATAGAAGTAATTTGTGTTCCATTGGTGTACATTACATGCCATACATACGTACACTAGCTGACAACTGATTGAGTAGGTTGCTTGTTATCAGCATAATCAAGGTCAAAAAGTCTCTCGAAAATGTTTATATCATGAATAATCACTTCTTTCAGAGCTGTTTAGACAGTCGTATCAATGACTAGGTTAAATAAACCTTGTTTAATCTCACTGCTGGTTTTGAACACAAAATTTAGCTCATTCTAAGGCCAAAATACACTGAAGTGTTATATGCTGTGAAGAATTATAATAAAGGCCGTACTATGAAAAATGAATAAAAATAAAAAATATTTGGCAAAATGTATAGTTCAGTAGAAGATAAAGCTGAGAACGATTAACAATTAAGAGGTTTCCGTATCGCCAACTATCTTTCTTATCAGTTTTATCTAATACTTCCTTAAAGCATTGAGTTGCACGATCTTTAGGATCTCGGCTGAGGAGATATTATGAACTGACAGATGATAGTCCTATACAACTATCTCTCGTGCCGCAGCGTTATGTCATAAACTGACCATGTCTCCGTTTTCTTCTAGCTAGTCTCAGCTTCGGGAAATAATGAGTGGTTTGCGATCTACTTGTTCAAGCCACCAAACCAGCACTTCAAGTTGGTGAGATTTATTGACACTATGGCCGAATGCACATTGCCGGACATCAGTATCCCTAACAGTGTTGTCGTTGGATGTTAAATGTGATAATCATAAAATACATAGTTGTAGAATATCACCAACTGAGTGTATCCTGGTTTCATAAACATGAAGCAGAATCGCTCTTGTTAACAAACTGTATATCCTACTTTTAATGACTAGACTAACAATACAACGATCCAAAAGCTGTCAACAACTCTACATTTATAAAAAGTGACGGTTATCATGTACTCTATCATAATTCGTAATCAACCGTAAATTATCCAATTTTCTTCTACTTTCTGTTCTAAACATTTCGAACATTTTATTACAATTTTTCAAGAATGTTGTTTAGAACTTGTGAACTAATTTATAAAATAAAGTTATCTGTGGTTTCCTGTGAAATCTACACTTTCCTCACACAATTTTCGTTCTCTTTTTGTGCCATGAGATATTTGACGACTGTGAACATTTACGTGAATGGATTTTCAGGTATCATCTTTACAAATTTATTGCTTTTTTGTTTTACTAATTACTTAGCATCGACTTAGTTCTGTCGCTAAAGCTCTGGAGTTATTTCCCAATCGTCCAGTTAAAAGTGGTCAAACGTCGGACATCTCATTATACGATCGACCTTTTGTCTGGATTTCATGGGTGCAATATATCGACTCAAGATTTCATCCATCTCACAAACTTAATTTACATTTGTTGAAAAGTGATCAAAATCCATATAGTAATGCTCGAGTTCATGAATCTAATCAACCATTAGTCATGACTGCTAATCAAGGATATGAGCTACTCAACTTAGATAAAGCTTCTGATTTCTTAGGTTCAACTGAATTCAAAATTGGTCGTGATATTGGTTGGAATGAGAAGAGTATGAAAAAAATTAAAATAGCTGATGTGAGTTCTACTATATTGCTATTAAATTCCTATGTTTGTGTATCTCATAAATAAGGTAAGAGAATACTTTATTTTAAATTAATTCAAATACCTGGCATTTCTGTAAACCTATTTGTAGGTGGATTTTTTTCATTGTATTAGATTTAGTGGTTATATTTCTCTATAAACTAACGTCCTACACATTTTTTGGTAACGATTAATCTTGAGTTGTGACAAAAATAATGTAAACACCTATTTGTCCAAATGGAACATTCTACTTCCAATATTCAATCTCATAAGCGAACTCGGTGAGCAGTAGTTCGTTATATGACTCGATCTATACAATAATATGGAGTAGTTTTTTGACCAAACATCAACACCTATAAAATATTACAATGTGGGCATAACCACGCCATAAGTGAAAAAGAACTAAGTAATTGATTCGCAGTCAATCAAGAAAGGTAAAACATACAACAATAATTTATGCTCCAAACGAGGAATTGCAATTAGAGGAATATAATATTATTGAGATGGTGAAGAATATTTGTAGCTGAGGTGATTGGTTTTGGTGGAATTTCGTCCTCTGAGCTGGATAGATTAGTTGTGAAGCTTTCACTGTTCTTCCGAACATCAGCATATATATATATATATATATATATATATATATATATATCGCTATCATGAATCAAATATTATATATTGTTCTTGAACGAAGTTCCCCTTTTCCAAACATATTCTTAAGAGGAAAAATAAATTATGTGTGACTCATTGGAAGATCCTGTGATTTGACTGAAATGAAATTTATTTTTATCGTATAGAAACCTGGTGACTATTTATTCTGGCAAAGTCTTGAATTTAAAGTTATGAAATTATATCACTTTGACTAGAAATGGTAATGAATATATATGGAAGAATTTCAAAAATAAATATTTACAACTCCATTAATATTTATTTCTTATTATTAATATTACGTATAATGATTTTTGTCGAATAGTTTACTTTTCATTATGAGCATAAACTTTTTAAATTCGATTACATTTCAACATTATTACAATAGAATAGATACCTAATGATTACATGCTTTTCTTGTACATAAACTCATTTCATATTATTAATCGTCGTTTTCTTCACTTAGGCTTCAGTAAAATTGTTACTATCTCAGCCATTGCGTAATCTATTCGAACCATGTCAAGTGGTTGATTTGACTGGTTCAACTTTAACTACTCAAAATCAATGTACGCATCATCAACAAATGGTGGTCGGTAATTTTACATCTGATTCCAGTACTAACAGTAAAAAAACCACAACTTACAAAAGTTTACTACTTTCAGATTGCGAACAAGATGGTTTACTAAGCCCATTTCTCAATACACAGTTAAACTTTTTGTATAACGAAGATATTAATGTCGATGATTATATTCCAAATTCTTTCAATGACCATCAAACATTGACCGATTCATGCGGATTTAATGAATGCACTATAAGAGAGTGGTGGTCAGATTTGATAAAGCAACGATCTGATTACTACTCGATTTGTATCGGAGAATGGTCTTCAAATTCTTCCAGCAAATCTCAGTGGAAAAATCGTAATCGTAGCAAACAGCCACTTATTTTACCAAAACCAGTAGAAGAATTCATTGCTAAACACGATGAAAGTTTATCCAGAGCGCTTGGTCATGATGAATTAGTTCATGCCAAACAGAAAGACAAGGATAATTCCCTAACGGAAGGTAATGTATATTGATTAACAGTTTCCATCATTTTATTGTTAATTTGACAACTTTCTTTTTCGTTTTGGCTTTCTCATTATTTTTATTAGATTTCAAAAGTGTTATCCAATGTACAGGTTCAGAAGGAATGATAATTCTTAGCATGCATATCTCTTACCAATAATGTTAACTATAGGTAATATTAATTTATCTCATCAGAATCGTTTTTTTACTGACAAGTCATTTCATCGTTGAGCAAAACAACAACAACTCTATATATAGAAATCATCCAGAAATAGATTGTATTATCTTACACTCCCTTCATTACACTTTATTCTACAAGTCCAAGAGTCATTAGGTTGTTACTATGTGGCTGAAAAGTGGCTCTCATCTTTGTTAGGATAAGCATTAGTTCATGTTGTTATTTAGTGTTGGTAGAGTCAGGCCAACTATTTGGTGTTCGAGCTATCTGTAATTGGAGACATCGAGTGACATTACCCTTAGTGGATTAGGTGCATTTACTCTTTATCACCGTCTAAGTCTTGAGCTTCATAACTATTTCGTATTTTTATCGCTTAAATTCGCCCTTTCTTTTCTCACTGCATTATTTAATGTTTAGTCTTTCCTAATCTCATGCAGAAATTATTTCAGATCTTTTACCATTCCTCTTGTTTGTTTAGTCTCTTTGTGTTGATGTAGTATGTTAATGTGTCTGTTGTGCATTTTTGTCGAAGAAGTTTCCATAATGTTCTTTTATCTACATTGTCAAACGCCTTTTCATAATCAAAGAAGTTGACGTAGTGACATGTCCCATTCAACTGATCGTTCGGCGATGATCCGTATTGTCTCAATTCGGTCTGTGCATGATCGATACTTACGACCTATGCTCCTCCACAAAGAGTAACAGGTGTAAGTCCATGTTGCCAGACGTGCAACACCAAGGATACTCATTTTCTCCTGTGGAAACTTATCTGAGCACTAAGTTTTATAGAAGCGATTTAGCTGCATCAATTGTTAGGGAAACAATGTATGAACGTCGCTACATGTGCATACAGTCACATTTCCGAAGCACATAACTCAAATGGTTACATTTCTTCTCAAGCACATTAGTTGCTTCATTTACGCGCTACCGAGCTTTTCTACATGGATTCATATTGTTTCCACTTCTCTATATGTGTAGTCGTGTCCAGTCGATTAGCTGTATTCATGGTTAAGAAGTCCTTAACCAATGTCGAATTTCAATCTATATATTAATTAGTTTGTCTCTTAGGATCGATAGTCATCCAATATCTCGTTCCTCAAAAGCACTAAGCTATATAACTAGGAAGGGTTCGTCTGGGTTGTTTTTCTCACTATAAACTTTGATATTTCAGTTGACTATTCTAACACACAATGTTACCACTTGACTCTCAAAGTAGCCCATTCTTCTAATTCTAGCGTAGACTATGTGTAAAGATATTTAACGTCAAGTTTATTGGATCTGGTTGTATCTCAGTAACGAGAAGTACGAAAACAACTAATCGCTGTCACTCAGTTTAGAGTATGCAAAATTTACTGTTTTTAGGATTTCAGCACATTGCATTGTTATAAGACCTATTTAATTACGTGATTCATTTTACTGTTGTTGACGAGTTATCTGAATAATTTATTATCCGTATTTTTTATTTGAATTCCTACGGGTTTATTAGAATCCAACAATCTCAATGCTTCTCAGATCTTAGAAGCTGAGGAACCTGTATGTTTACATTGTTCTGACCCTAGCCGAAGCATGAAGTGGCTAGTCGACATCTGTGCAATGATTTGTGGAGCGTCCAATATTAAATCACTACTCACTGAAATTGAATGTCTAGAACGCTTGCTTAAGTGGCATGCGAAAGCTTCATGTTCACACTCAGTTTCAGTAAATGATCCACGTCAAGTTGATTATGCACTTTTGTCATTTTTTGATTTGAATGTAGATATTTGTGAAGTATCACGAAATCTGTAGATTAGTCACTTTTTCTATCTTTTTTCTGATATGTCGTTCTCAAATTAATTTGTACAGAGATATCAATGATTTATATTTTACTTATTTTATCAACTGAACCTGAACTAGTTGTGTATTTGCGGTAGTAAATCTGTTTTTCATTGAATTGCACAGTATAGAGAAAAAATCTTAACGTACATAGACTTAATGAGTTGAGGTTCTCGATAGATGTAAGGTTTTGTAGTTGCGCTTTAAGATATAGCGATAGTTTTCCGTTTGGTATTATGGGAAGCCGTTATGAAGTTTGTCCCATCAGCATCTTAGTGTTTCTAGACCCCATAGAACGCCAGTCGGTCAGCCACAACGTAGGACCAGGCACAAATTTCCACACCTCATTAGCACAACAGGGTGGACACCAAATTCATCGTAATTACTTCAATGGCAGTAATGCATAAAAGGAAAGTTGTGTATAAGGATATAATACAGGAAGAAAGAAAGGTATAAAGCAATTTAATCTCACGGTTTAAGGGGAGACAAGGAGTGTACACATCCTATAGTATGATTAAGTTACGGGCTTGGTTAGGTATGTATCAACAGACTATCAATCTAGAACTCGGATATTGACAAGGTAAGTGAATGAAATACACAACACTATTTTTTAAGAAACTAAGTAAATAACTATTCCGCCTATCAAACCTTCGTCAACCCGAATGCAATTCTTAGTTAACCAAGTTGGTAAAAACATGTAGCGCACATAACCATTTGAATCTTGACTCAGTATGCTATTTCGGTTTGTATTAACGGGTGACACCCCAGACAAGGCGTGGACTTTTGAGCGAATTGATGTTTGTATTAGGCTCTATTGTGTTACTAACTGGTTATAAAAGCTGGCACTGATAGTGTGTTCAAAGTTTATTGCTCGGACGTTTAATATCCACTTGGGAGGGGTTGGTCCTAAACAACACCTTGTTTGACAAATCAAGCAATCGATTCTAATTGATATGATATTAGAGACCAAAAATGTCAGGTTTTCCTCGCATTTCGATGGTAGGTGGATCGGCATGTCAGATATATATGTAGTGTGCGAAGACAGTATAGAAAATTCGCATCGCGACTGCACCAGCATGTGAGCTTTATGGAAGTAATATAAATATTACCAAATAAGCAATGGTATTACGCAGCAGTAGTAGTAGTAGTAGTAGTAATACTACTACGTTCGCAAGGAATGTGCACAGACCCTACTACTTTGATCACTGATTGAGGCTTATTACAGCTGGCTTCAACAGGCTGCTCTCGCTCTTTCAGTTTTCTCTTGTATCCTTACATGGATACTGAGTCCATCTTTAAAGTCATTTATTAAGAATAAGCATTATCACGAATGTTCAGTCAGTTCTCTAACTAGATCCTGAGTGTTATGATTGCTCTATTCTGTTCTCATCAATCACCAGTTCCGCAGAGCACAGAACACCAAAACGGACTTTAAAAGCATTTATTAGAAAATGACCGAAAAAAAAGATAGTACATATTAAGCCACATACCGCTATATTATCTTAAGGGAAATACATCTTACACATATGAAACGACAGTTCAGACAAGCAACTTCGAATAAAAAAGGATGAGCAATGTGAGACTAGATTTGTACAGTTTTCCCACACGAGTTTATTATTTCAGAAATGAAACAGACGCAAGGCATGTACAATAAAACGGATTTTTTCGCAGATATTAAAAGATGAAAAATCAATTTACATTACTCAATCAGCTTCTTCGACTTGAAATAACGTCTTAAATAAAGTACCTGCCAACATGCGAAGCCGATGAGGATTACCATTGAAAGGATTGAGAAGTAGAGAACCCTTGTATGAGTAGATTCTGGAAAATAAGAAGTAATGAAAGTGGGTTGACTTTTACGAAAATTCAAATGAAGTAAAAAATTAGTATTTTTACGGAAGTGATACTATAACCCACGTGACATAACTGACAATATGGTCTTTTAAGTACTCATCAGTATTGGTTTAGTAAGTGATTAGCAAGCAATCAAAAATTTGTTTATTAAAACATAGGAATCAAATAGAAACTTCTACCCTTTCGGAAAGAATATAATTCTGACGATGCCGTAAGCTGTTTATTTATTTATTTTAATACAAACATTGGTACAAATGGGACACCGTATACATATGCACCACACAGTGGCCCCCAAATGCCCTGGTACGGCCGAGAGTGGGGAGAGTACGCTCTCCCTCTCGAAATGCTCTCACGTGGCCACGCGTATATAGCCTCTATCAGGGAATTTCTACGCACTGCCTTATTGTAGTGGGGGTGTTGTTTACGAAAATAAATAAATAACAAATACCACACAATGACAATGAGGTTGTGAAGAGATAAAAGGCGTAAAATGCGTATAATAAAAGGAAGAACAACAATGAACAGAACATCATTATGGCGAAAAGCAGTTCGGTTAGTAAAAATACAACCAGAAAGAATTCAGTCAAGCCAGTCCTGTCCAAATTTCACCAGCCAGTCAGCTACAACGTAGGACCAGGCACATATGTGGACCGGTCCAAGTTGTCATACCCCATTAACTCAACAAGACATAGCAAATTCATAGTAGTAGTTAATTCAGTGGCGGCAATATATATAAGAAAGATTGCATATAAGGACATAGTACAGGAAAAAAGATATGAAGTGATTTTAATCTCATAGTTTAAAGGAAGACAAAGAGTGTATACACCTAAGCCATTGTGATCGATTCTGAGCCATGTCACTTAGTTCTAAACTATCGATTACGAGTCACGCGAACCCCTACCAAGTACTCTGCATCTACCAGCGTGGCTCACACCAGAAGTCAATGATTTCAAACACTGATGACACGTTTTGATTCAGCCACCTCTAACTTTCTTCCAACCATCCCCCACACTAGTCAGAATTGCGCGTTGTGGTTATCGGTGTTCAGGCATACGTAACACGTGGCCCAATCATCTCGGTCAATGAAGATTCACAACTTCATCAACTGATTTACCATCATTCCCTAATACCCTGCGTCTAATCTCACTATTACTTATCCGGTGGTCCCAGCAGATGCGAGCATTATTTCCTAGACATCTGTGGTTAAATCCTATTAGCTTACGAATATCTTCTGTCCTTAGTGACCACGTTTCGCAGACGTAAATTAAAACAGAAAAACTGCCACGCAGTATACTTGTCATTTAATTGATATATGGATATCTCGCCTTCGCCATAGGTGACGTAAATTGGCAAAAACCAAACGAGCTTTTCGAATTCGTGCTGAGATTTCATCAGACATCAACTCTCATACCACGGCACAATGTCACACATTGACCATCTCTTTGCATTTTCCAACCAGTTCCAGCGTTCTCAATTAATACACGACGTGGGATTCTCTGGGACGATATCGGTAGGACATGATAATAGCGAGCAAATCAGTTGAGTGTATTGATTACTGCAATTACTATTGAGGTTTTTTCAGCTCTAGCAGGTTAGTGTCTGATGAACTTTCGGCAGGGATTGAACAACCTCACCTGTTTTTCGGCACAATGTATCATTTATAGCATAAGAGAGATGCTCCTAAAGCTATAAAATTGTCGATATAATGTTCAACAGTTCTAAGTTCGAAAAATAACATGTAGCATGAGTTTGAGACAACGCAAATTTGTGACAAGTTCTACTCCGTTTGCTATTGATGATTCCCAGTGGACTGGCTTATCGAGGGTATATACAAGTTTTTATTTATTAATTTTAACACATAGATATTGGTACAAGAAGGGACCAAATACATATGCGCCACACAGATCTCATTTGATATGTGTGAGGGCTGTGATACTGCCCGGGTTCCCAAACCGAAGCAGAATACAAGTTTTAGGAAATGAAAAACAAATATCCACTAACTACGCGTCGGCTCAGAAGAAACAAAGAGACATGGTTTATTGTCAACCAAAAATGTGCTGAACGGACACTAGTTTTCATATACAAACAAACAAAAAACAAAGGGTATCACATTCCGCCACTTTACAGAGCCGTACATCATCGCTGGAGAAAAGAATGAGAAACGTAACGACTTTGGAATATTTTGGCATAGTACGGGCAGCAGAATAGCTACTTATCGATGACAGTCAAACCTATTTCACCCTAACATTCTAGAAATGTGCTAAGTGGATGACTATTGTTGTAATAAGTTGCGGAAAATAATGACGGAAACCCCAGTTATCAACGCTTTGCCAGTTTAGTGTGTAAACAGTGATCACTATCACGATAATGGGACTGATCATCAATTTATACGAACTCGGAAGATTGTTATATCACATATGGAGCAACAAGAATGTGATATCAACCTTACTTACCGTTGATGTTTCGCATTTTGCTACTTTTCGAATGCATGACAACAAAATCCTGCACGATTTCATCGGCTAGACTTTCTAGCTTTTTCAGTAGCACTTCGATTGGTTGTAATTTCTCTGCTTTCGCCATCTACATACATAAGCAAAAAGTGGGCAACGAACCTTATCAAAATCCTTGGCCTCGGTACCGTGTTTTATATTAAGAAAGACTTCTTGTTCCGTGTCAGTATTATCTAGCAAACATAGATGACATGGAGATATTCAACTACCTGGCTGACTTTCGAAGCACACCTCAAATAGATCAAAGTCTTCTGTTGTGAATGCAAATTTCCCGCTTTTTATATTATCTCTCTGATATAGTATATGTTTTTTCACATCGCGGACTTTGATATGGGTTGTGTGTTCATGGGGAGCAGTAATCTCATACTCACCATGTACAATAACGTCTTTGTGTGCCTCATCTTGAATACACTTTGTAACACCGTTTTTAAGCTTAAACCTCAGCCCTTTAATTGTTGATAAATAACAAAACAACAAGCATATTGCTGAGACACCACAAATAAACCTCATCTAATACGTTGCGTACACGTCTGAACGCCAAGTTCACGAAACCTGTTCAGTAGCACAGTAGAAGGCACAATGTATCCAATATTCAATATATACCTTGTCAGGCATTATATATGAAATGATTTCTTACAGCTAATATATCGGTCGACAGGAGGATTTGTGAAGCATTTTGGGGTTCAAAAAATTTTTATCATCCTTTTTCTATTTGTTTCTGAATGTTTGCTTTTTTTAATTTTACATGAGAATGAGGTCACCGAAACCAATAGCCGCTACGACACTTTGGTCACTCACTTGAAATCGGAAGAACGGAATTTGTAGAGTAAAATAAGGAGAAGTACGAGTCAATTAAAGCAAAAGTAAAATGCTTCTAATAGTAGAATAGTGGAATCAATACGACAAGGGCATACGGAAGTAGGTAAAGCGAAAGAATAAAAACAGTGGAAGTGGTATTCGTGCTCAAGGTAGGTAGAAAGTATAATTACTTTTAGCTTCAGACGAAAAAGTTGAAATAGTAAATTTTCATGCGATCGCTCAATTTTATGTCCAAATATACGACTGCCGAAACTATGGTAAATTCGGTTGATATAGCATTTTATTTAGGACTCATTCGTTGTGTAAAATTCAGGATCTGATTTCTGTGCTTGAATAATAGTGGATAATTACACGATTATTTCATCTTGGATCATTGTGATAACCTTCTGAGTGAGTTTTCTGAAATGATTATATCGCAAAGTGTATCGTACGATGTTTATGGACAGTCTATTTCATTTCTAACCAAGAAGAACATCAACATTTAAGGCGGTAACCGTACTTTTTCGGGCTGAATTCCTAGAGTTCTTTAGGTTACTTCAATCTTCCTGAAGTCTCCTTGAAGGTGAAATATTGTTATAATCCTCAGTATGCGGGTTTATATACAATATTAACGATTTTATGAGCTGTTTGATGATGAGATCCCTTAGCTATCTTCGTTGATGCATTATTAGAGGTGGTTTAGTTTCATCTGTTAAATTCATACTGTTTTTATCCAGTATCTACTTCATAAGCAGACTCAGTTTATGTTTTGTTGAGATGATTGTAAAGAGCATAAGCTGTCCATTGATGTTTTAAGCTACGGACAAACATTTGATAAGATTCGAGCGAGCTAACTTCCACACCATTCTCTGCCAACCATTCAAATAAAGTATTTTACCTTCTGAACCTTTCTCTAAGTCTCTTTGTATTAGGTGGCTGTTCATAGTTATGTATTTGCAGATAAGTTACAACCAGCAAACTAAAACTTTTTAGAATGCCACTGATAAGTTTGAGGAGCGAGAATTTATCTTATGAGTGAACTAATAAGATTTAAGACATCAACCCTTGGATTTTGGCCCAGTATTCACTGATTTATACAGATAAATTGCAATTCGACATTACAGTTTATGTCAGTTAGTGGCGAAATGACTAACTCTTATTTTTAACCCAAAGTCTTACTACGTAAAGGCTGCATTCCTACAGTTGAAGAACATATGGAATTCAAAACAACTGTCAACCAACACCAAATCAGAAACTTCGATACGAACGTCGAAACAATTCTATTGTACGGAGCTGACACGTGAAGAACTACCACAACCATAATGAAAAAAGCAAAAGTATTTATAAACAATTGTCTACGAAGGATATTCAATGTTTATTGATCTGATACCATCGGCAACAGCCCACTGTGGGAAAGAACAAACCAGCTTGAAAATGAAGAGGAAATTAGGAAAATTTGCTTCAGCTGGATAGGACAAACACTGAGGAAATTTAACGAACTGCATCACGAGGCAAGCACTAACTTGGAATCCTGAAGGGAAACAGAGAAGAGGAAGACCAAGGGACACATTGTGTCGAAAGTCGGGGGCAATCATCGAAAGAATACATAGCAATTGGGAAGGATAGCTCAAAATACAGTCCGATGGAGAATGTTCGTGTACGTCCTATGCCCTCTCTATTTGGGGCAACAGGCGTAAGGAATTAAGCAAGAATAAAGGTGCTAGTATCGAACGAGACCATAAAACCACAGCATTACTGAACCAAAGACTTCGAATCCTTTCAATTTTCACCCAATTTTTTGAAACTGGCATGAAACCACAGCCCTTCATAAATATTCGGAATTAGATATGGAGATGGGTAAGCGCAGTCTGTGCATGACGTCATCCCTATGAAGAATTTTTGTGGGACGATTTCGAGCGCACTAAGGTTAAGCAGGGTAGGGGGTTAGCTACGAACGTTTGTACTCATCAGGTAACCCCGCTTTCTCACCCCATTGGGAGATTGTGGACAAGTGACCAATTTGATTGTACTCAAGTCATGATACTACATTATCGTGATTTGACATACTTTATGACTAGTTTTACATATTGGACTATCTTTTAAGTACTAAGTTTCCATCTAGTTCGAAGTAGTAGAAGCCAGACCTCAATACTTCCACAAACTTCATATCAGTGGTGTGATCAAATCTGTTTTGTATGGTTTGTCCACTTGTCTTGGTAATGATTTCTTGGTTTCACCGTTCAAACATGTTTGATTAACTCAGTGGACGTATGGAATAATGGCCTTATCCAAGCACGTCTTTTGTATAGACTATGTCTTTTATCGTACTGATTAGTATCGTATATTGCGTTTCGATTTTACGTGTATGACATAACAAGTCACATAACTGTGTACAGGGCCAATGAACGTGATTTATAAGGTACTGCTTATTAGAAATTGTAGATCCCCGTAAATCACTTCTTAAAATTCCTATCTTTGCAATTTAACTGTGAAGGTTTGAATATCTCATTTTTGTGTTTGAGGCGCTCATTATTGTTTTGAGTTCATATTTTTTTCTCCTGGAGGGACCATAAACACCAATGGTTGATTATCTTTTGTATTGTATGCATAACACATGAGTTGTGTGCTTGCCAATCGTTTTTTTGAGCTGCTTGTGGAACTATATATTTTCTTGACTGACTCCAATCTTCCTCCCCCACTTAACAGGGTTGAGGGCAGAGGAATAGCTCACCTTGTTCTGTTATTGCTAGTTTTCATTCCGTTTGGTGGTTCATGGTGATATCATAATGTCTCGAACATAGAAGTGGTGACGGCAGTCGTTCAATCATTGTTTCCACTAATTCTTGGTTAACGCTAGAATGTACAGCAGAAAATAATTTTCCTCGTACTACTTGTAGAGCCTAGTGTCACTATGTGAAAACCGAATAATTAGTGTATCTAATTGTGAGAATTATAATCCGTTTATGAGAGCAGTAGATGTGGGTTTAGGTTTGATCGATGTGGCATCTATGCGAAATAATGATTGTTTTGTACTTGATTGTCCACTGATTACGAATTCCGGGTAAAATATGCCCATATAACTCTATCTGCTCTAAATTACACTATTTCAGGAATGCTTAGCATAATAATTATAATGCTTCTAATAAAAGCTTGATGGCCGAACGGGACATGGGGAAAAGTTGTCTTACTAATGTGATGTAAGGATATTTTCTAGCTACAATACCTCAGATATTTCCCTCCACCGATAATTAAATTAACGGATGTTGTGACCGAATAAAAACAGAATTCACGAAAATTTTTTCCCGACGAGATCATTTACTTAAAATACCCATTCGTATTTAGAGTTGTTTGATAGACATATTGGTTTACAGAAAGACAGAAGACATTGCGTCATAAAGTAATTCAAAGTTTTAGGTAACCAAAGAAGTTTGTATAATGATCATGAGGTTAGATAAGAACAGAAGGATGAAATTTGACAAAAAACTTCCCACCTGATAGAATGATGGAAAATCTAAATTTCATAATTACAACTGAATAATGGTTGTAAAACGTTTTCTGGGGATATTAACTACAGATCACAGTTTAGAAAATATACAGTAATAATAATAATAACAAAACATAGGCGAAACATATAGAAGAAACGAATCAGTGGCAAAGGGAATGAAAGGTTGGATGTGTTGTTTCTTTATACTGTTTGAACGTGAATTAATGAGTCACGAAAGCCTCAACAGTGCACAAGTTTTTGATTTGACCGCCATTTGATAAAATTATTTTGACGTATTCGTGAATGGTAGATCGACTCGAGATGGCAATTAAATGCTTAGCCAAACTGAAAGTTTTACTCGGGATTCTAAAGTACGTTTATTGATGAATTTGACACCTGTTTTTCCTTTAAACTTGGTATTCATAAAGCGAATTTTCTTTTGCACTTCCGGGGCTATTTGAATACATGGTCGTTCTGTTTAGGTCCTATCGACAAATGTAAGGAAATACAATTATTGATAATTATCTTGTTCGGTTCACGGTCAATTTCCCTACTTGACCCGGCTCTCATATGGACGACAGGTAAGCCAAGTAAGTGTTCATCCATTTTTTGGTATTCTTATTCCCCGATTTCAGTGCATCAGGAGACGCGAAGCTATTTCCTTGCAAAATTGGTGGCGGGATAATAAACACATAGTGTTTCATAATTTTAAGCAGCCATGCATCCATTGCCGTAACCATATTCCTGTGTTATTTTGCCAGACACCGCTTAGATATCAGCGAGTGTAGCATTAACTATTGTTTCGTATTCAGGAATTTTTAAGTGATTCAGAGGACGCGTATGTACTATGGCGTTAGCGTAGCCGGTGAAGAGCTCTATTGGAGTAAGAAAATCAATTAGACAAACATATTTTTACCAAGTATCGATGATATGAGATCGAAAGTTCAATATTCATAGTTCTCACCGAGTGTTAGGAACTAACGAAATCATTTATGACAACTCAAGGCCAACATCTCACGTAAGACTTGACAGCTGAGATTGCTATCCAGTTCTAACCTGATATACAGTACGCTGAATAAAACTAAGACTATATCACATATGCCTTATCGAGAATATCAGCAAACACTTAGCTATGCCAACGGTGAATTCTAAAAGACATCAGTATTATGATTTCACACTCAACGGCTTGGTTGAGAGTTTCCAACCGGGACTTGGAGCCACACTCACTATCACAGTCAAAGAAAAAGACGTATTAAAGCTGTCGGCTTCGCTTGAGTATATAGTTGCTATGCTGGTTAGTGCTCGTGCGCTACGAGTGGTTGGATAAACAGTAGGGGTCAAAAGATGAGTTCAGGTTTTCCATAAGGGTGCTTATTGCTACTGAGTTTCTTCAGATTAGTATAAGGTTAAGACAATCGTGAAGTGGTCGTTTGTTTGCTACCGTAAACAATATTCTGACTTGAGAACATCAGAGTTGTGTAGACGTTAGTTACTGCCCTGATTTTGTATGATATTTGTCAAGAGTTGTTTTCTGATGAATACTGTAAGACAAACTTACTACCTTGCTTTCGTTTGTTTTTCTATATCTTTTATCTGATATGTCGTTCTCAAACTAATTGGTACAGAGATATCAATGATTTATATTTTACTTATTTTATCAACTGAACCTGAACTAGTTGTGTATTTGCGGTAGTAAATCTGTTTTTCATTGAATTGCACAGTATAGAGAAAAAATCTTAACGTACATAGACTTAATGAGTTGAGGTTCTCGATAGATGTAAGGTTTTGTAGTTGCGCTTTAAGATATAGCGATAGTTTTCCGTTTGGTATTATGGGAAGCCGTTATGAAGTTTGTCCCATCAGCATCTTAGTGTTTCTAGACCCCATAGAACGCCAGTCGGTCAGCCACAACGTAGGACCAGGCACAAATTTCCACACCTCATTAGCACAACAGGGTGGACACCAAATTCATCGTAATTACTTCAATGGCAGTAATGCATAAAAGGAAAGTTGTGTATAAGGATATAATACAGGAAGAAAGAAAGGTATAAAGCAATTTAATCTCACGGTTTAAGGGGAGACAAGGAGTGTACACATCCTATAGTATGATTAAGTTACGGGCTTGGTTAGGTATGTATCAACAGACTATCAATCTAGAACTCGGATATTGACAAGGTAAGTGAATGAAATACACAACACTATTTTTTAAGAAACTAAGTAAATAACTATTCCGCCTATCAAACCTTCGTCAACCCGAATGCAATTCTTAGTTAACCAAGTTGGTAAAAACATGTAGCGCACATAACCATTTGAATCTTGACTCAGTATGCTATTTCGGTTTGTATTAACGGGTGACACCCCAGACAAGGCGTGGACTTTTGAGCGAATTGATGTTTGTATTAGGCTCTATTGTGTTACTAACTGGTTATAAAAGCTGGCACTGATAGGGAGTTTAAAGTTAATGCAGGAGACTTTCTTGTCACAATGTAGAGTATCTCGACCCTACTGAGACGAGTTTTTTGAGAATGCATTCGTTTGTCAGTCGGTCTATGACATCACCCACTGCTTTGTCTGAAGCATCTACTTTCAAAAATGAAAGGGGAATCGGATTGAGGATACATCACTGTGGATTATTAAGCAAGTCTATTGTTTATGGAAATAAGCATCGTCAACGGCCTTAGAAGTCGACTTGAGATCTTCTGATTAACTGTCAAGGAAGTCTGTCGATATTTGTATTCGTTGCGCACAACCGTGTATGAATCCGCAATAATAAATAGCTAAACCTAGAAAACACCCTAGTTGTGTTAGAGTACTTGTTATTAGATACTGCCTATTATTGTCCACCTGTTTTTTGATCAATTTAATCCATATTACGATTATTGCATGCTAGAGAAATTCCAAAGTATAAATTCGGAAATCACACATTGATATATGTTCATTCCATTCACATCTAGCCTCCTGACTTCAACAACTAAGTTTTGTTTATATCAAGACAAAGGATCAACAAATCATCGATATATCCGTGTGCGGAATACATAACTTCCAATCGATTGACTACTAAAGGAATGAATAACTTCCAGCTGCAGCATAATGTCGAAATCCACTTTAGCGAATTTAAGCTTATTAGATGCTGGTCTCTAGAGCCTGGAAAACCCGGGCGTGTGTTTTGTTTGATCGTATGAGCTTCTTTTATCTTATTTTCTAAAGGTTGAGTGATTTATTTGATTGGGCTCAAAAATACCTTAAATCTAACTTGGAACTTTGCAGTTGATAATGGAAGAGTCTAGGCTAATATCGGAGACGTTGTATGACAAATTTAGCATTTTGTGTAACTCGATGTTACCTTAGATATCAAATGGCGTTCTTTAGTGTTTACTGGGAACTTCCCCAAAACGTCCATTCTCAATTTTGCCAGAACGTAGTTCGGTCTAATGAACAGTCAGGGGATTTCTCTGGTTTCAACGTCTTTTCCAAGAAAGGCACGACCTCGACTTTACTGTCAGTTCACCATGTGACTGAAGACATTTGTTGGCTAAACTCAGTCTTATTCAGAGGAATGATACAAAGAATAATAAAGGATGTAAGCCTACATAAAATAAGGAGTTAAAAGAATATTTTGACCATAATATATTGGTCCTGATAGAGGATTTTCGGTTTACTATCAAACACCCAACTTAAGCTGTCATAAGTTAACATTTCGGTTCATGGAGTTCTCATAGCCCTGCCAAGAAGATTCTCTCGGAGTCATGTATGAAATCAAACAAAGCGGTTTGAAGTGTTTACGAGTCAGGAATTTGTGTACTGAAGAAACTTTACCAATCCAACGATTTCAGCTCAATCTCTATGTACAAATGCAACATGCAAAACCACTCGTTTTATCATAGCCTTAATCCTATTTTAACTTCATGGTTCAAAAAATCCATCTGTAACGTTAAACATTATGTGTTTTGGATTCTGTATGGCCAACAGGTATGTTTTTTTATCATAACCATATGTTGGTTCATCAAAACAGCCACAAACATAAAAATAAAGCTGTCTGTGTGATATGGACCATGCGTAACCATATCGTAGGCATTGAAACAAAACTTCAAGTATAAACACTGTTTACATGTTAAAGCCAATTTTATTTGCATCAGATTAATATTATTACTTTTAAATTACAAACTTTCAGTATTTTGGGCTAATCATCATTGCACATCAAAGCTTCCCAACGAATGCACTCGAAATACGAATTCAAAATAAACTGTCTGTTGATGTGAAGATCAACCATTTGTTGACACAAAAAGAGGATGATCAAAAGTAAGGCTATTTTCTTTCAGTGAACTTTCAGCTTTAAGATAAAAAGCGATTGTACATTGAATCAGTCAACTGTTATTTTAGATACTGTTTACCGAATTATTTTACGTTTTAGTAATAAAATGGATTTCGGTAAATTATGTAGGAACTAATTAGTTTTCTTGATTATGATACTGATTCAACCTTTATTAAAAATTGTGTTCTGTAGCTGAAAGAAGTATTTCCATGATTAAATTTGGTAAACAATAGGATTCTGTGAAATTTAATCTAAAATGTAAATACAAATAATTTAAAAGTTTCTTGAGGGCATATTGTCGTAGCATAAATCATCTGGACTGAACAATAAAGTATGAGCAAACGTATTCACAAGGAAAAGAATTTTAGAAGGGTTACAGTGATTTAAAATGATTCCAGGAAAGGTTCTAAGAATTTTTGTGAAAAAAATATTCCTTCAGTTGTCGTTTGATAACATTAAAAGATAATATTGAACGAGTAGACTGGAAAACATGTTCTCCGTTTGGAATTACTTGCAAAATATCATTTGATGTGTTATCAATCGGTGTGTTTCAAAAAACGGTCACAAAACCTTCAAGCAACTGGAGATTATAGCCGATCATACCATTAGATTGCGAAAACGGAGAAGGTATTATTGGGAAGGACACAAACCAAATAGTAGAAATTTTACATACAAATAGCTTTTACATGATTATAACATTTGGACAGATGCTTTAAGGGAAGACAGATACAAGTATGAAGTTAAACTAATCTATAGATTGACTTCCAACAGGGCGAGGTTATTTTATTCAGCATCCATTTGTTATAAAAAAATTTGATGAAGGGTCATAGAAAGAAAGGAAATAACATCTGTTCAGTGGAAAAAGTTGGAGTTCATGAACAATACACTGACTGAAGTAAACTACACGTAAATCTTTTCGAAGAAGCACACATACACAATGAATTAAGATGCAGAGATATGAACTGTTGAAAAGAAACTTTTATTTATGAAACTACTATTTAACAAAGATATAATTAGCGAAATTTCAAATGACAAAATGTCTAAACTATACTACTTAATCCCTTATTCATTCAGTTAATACTTTGACCAGTCATCGCATCAACTTACGAAGTTAGATCACACAAGCTTTCCAACTGACACATAATAATACATCATATGAGCACAAAAGTATATCATTGTATGTAATTGTCTAATTGTAAAATATAAAATAATTCATAAATATAAACTGCACCATAATCCAACCAATGTTCTTAAGGAAACAGCAACAAAATATTCTTACTACATATATTGAATAAAGTGCAAAAAAATGGTTTTCAAAAGTCCACCTATGGAATAAGTTGTTAAGTGTATTGTTATTAAGTGCGTTTTAAGGCTAAATTCGTCATTAACTAACTTATTATAGATACTTCAAGAAAATAGTATAAATTCTTATAGGGCATGAAAATGATTTCATTGAAAAATTCATACACAACTATGCATTGGCCTTGTTCTGGTAGTCCAGAATGTAAAGGATACTTCATTTACCCACAGGGAAGAAATGCACATCAGCTAGGATGTAATTATGCATTAAAACATCGAATAAGAAGATGGACAGTTGGACTTAAAAAGAAATGTGGATTCATTCGGGAAAGGAATTATTTTACTAATGATGATGAAATAGGTTGTATTAAACTATCACGTATGAATGTTATGACGTACTCTAGAAAATTGGATTGAAATTCAGTATGTTTTTGACGTACCATCAAATACTATTTAATATAATATTAATTAGCTTTATTGTTTCTTTTTTTAGTCTTCAAACTGTTACCTAAATTAATAGTCTTTAGTAAAATGAGAAATTAACGACTTTTCAATTATCTCTTTCCTATGGTTCAAAAAATGATCTGTAATATGACAAAAGAATGAGATCAAAAAAATATTGATTGTCTTGTGGATATATATTTGTATATTAAAAATGATGTCACTATGTACATTTAGACAAATGGTAAGTCACATTAAGATATTTCAAATCTACTATTCATTACTAAGTAGACTTGAATTTTGATCATATATCATACACATGATCCTTATCTTTAAAATAAATTTGTATATTACATTCAATGACCAAAGTAAAGAGATACAAAACATTAATGCCCATGACTTACTGTAAACTTATATTATGTGAAGTGAACATTTGTTGGTAGACCTTCATTGAAAGCCTTGAAAATCAAGATCAAATTAGCGACTTCCCACTTTTTTTTCGCGAAATTCATAACGTAATGATGAAAAAGTTGTTCAATTGCCCGAACGCTAATATGAATTTTGAACGTATATGATTGTCAGTCATCTTCTTAGGCTTTGGCTCATGCTGTCTTAGTTCTGTTTTCTTCAATGTAGACTGTTTGCTTTGGATCACTTACTTCAGTTTCTGATCGAATAAATATTAACCACACTGAACATATCTTACAACACCAGCTAGCTTTTGCCTTAAGAACATGAATGTAGAAAGGACCTTTATTTACGGTTTCAGTCGTGAAGGGTCGATAAGATAAAGTTCATTCCGCAATCAAAAAGTCACGAAAATTACAAGGAGTGTCCAAATGCTGTATTACCAGTTAGTTAGGAAGCACGTTTAAATAAATGATGTGACTGTATTTTGGTATAAAGCTTGTAAAGTGATCTAAATAAACAAATAACTCAAAAAGTATATATATAGTGTTATTTTTTATCAATGTTAATTCTTTGCGGTCACAGACCAGGGTTAGCCATCTGATATTTCACCACTCAGTGAAGTATACAGTTCTCTTGCTTATCGGTGTATTACCACTAGAATTCCACTAACTGTTCTTGTATGAAATCCGCTCAGTCATACACCAAGTAGGAAACATTTATAGGAGTATTTATGGTCCAATATGTAACCAAAACATGAACTGATATTCAATTAAACAAAAATAATCTATAAAAAGAACTATTCTATTTAAAATATAATGCAATTTTTTTGAAACCAGCCATGAAAAATAACAATGCACAGAAATTACAATAAGTGGTATAGTAAAATCTACAGATTTCGCTGAAATCAATTTTAATGAAACCATCAAATTTCAAATCAACATTGATCAAGATTTTTCCTAGGAAAACTTGAAAGTATGCTCCTGTTTTGTTCAGTAATTGTAGTTCTGACGTTTAGACGAGTCGACAATGACCGAAATTTCAGAAATACTGAGTTGAATTTAGTTATTCGCTAAGTTATTATCTGTCTTAATTTGTTAATCTGTAGTATGCTCTTCAAAGATATCAACATGATATAGTTGGTTCAACTTTTGAGGTCTTCAAGAGACAGTAAAAGCTTTCTTGTTGAAGAACGCCAACTCTTCTCCTCTATAGTGCTGATGACATGTAGCACTATCAGATATTCCGTTTGAAACGGGGGAAATCACGTTACAGTCTCAAACTGGATACGATGGTGATAATTTAATTATTTTCTTGGAAAGTTCAGGTTCATTCTTTCAGAGGTATATTCTAGCCTACTTTGTCCTTCCACCAGTTAGCTGCAACTTACCTGATCACAGTAGTTCTCACAAATTAGAATGCAATTGAAAACCCACATGGAAATGTGCTTATTGGTTCAAATTATATCTTATTGATAGGGTGATAGAACATCTAAAGTAAACGTTCATGTATGAATCTGATAATAGTTTCACTAAGGAAATACTAGCTATCCTTTTAGAATAATGTAGCTTGAGAACTACAACAAAGTCAGGGTTACAAGTAATCTTTATTAATACATTCATATATAAACATAAATTTAAAAAAGAAACTGTCTCTTTACAATTTGATATTCTTGAGGAGTATGCAACCATAGTGTGACAGGGTTAAACCCAAATAAATGAGTCAATCCACTGCTTTCTGGTATATTCAGTTGGACGCATTATAACAAAAGGTTAGTCAATCCGAAAGTAAGAGGTTCTATAATGTTATTTCATACATTTTCATATCCGACAAAATGTGGGAAAACATATATGTTGTAAGCAATGATGGATAGTGGCTAGCAGTGGAATCCAAGACGCGCGTTTCGTCCTATTTGGGACTCGTCAGCTGGATGTACCTGTATCTCAGAGTTGATGTTCACTCTGGGACTCGAACCCAGCACCATTCGCTTCAAAAGCCATCGCGTTAACTACTCAGCTGCTGAGTCCTGATAGCCACTTCCTTGTGCAATGGGGCGAATTTAAATTCACTTGGTATTGTTTGGCTTATATCTTCCTATTGAGGTTTAAGACTGCAATTGATCAGTCTGTTATTGGCTAAACAATACCGAGCGAAGCATATATGTTATTTGAAAATGTATATATTTATTGAAAATTGTAATTTACATAGGGGCAGAAATTTTAATATATATATTATATATATATATATATATATATATATATAATATAATATATATATATATATATATATTATATATATATATATATATATATATATATAATATAATATATATATATTTTAATATAAAACCAATCTATGCTTTCTCAATCCTACTATTCTACTCCTCATATGAAACAAACCGATAATAATTTTCAATTCTAATTATGAATGGATTCTTTCATAAGCCAATAAGTGTTGAATAAGCGTTAGTAAATTTATTAATTCAAATACAAGTAATTTGGTTAAACTGAATTCTAAAATCACAAACCATATCATGTACGATACGTTTCATATAAAACAGGTAAAATACAAGAAGTTCATAATACTTAAAATAATAAGGGTTTATTGTACAAATAGAGATTTTAAAAAAATCAACTATGCGGATCATATTTCTAGCAAATATATAGAATAACGTTCAATGTGTTTTATTAACTATAAAGCTCATTTCAGTGATTTATGTTGTCTTTCATGATACTAACAACCATCCTTTGAACTCTATATGCATTGTTTACACCATATATATAATACAGGAATTCCCATTTTCTCAAACCATCAGTTGGGTTAGAAAACGTTAGATGAGTATTCATGAGAGCTCACATTAATCTGATTCATAATTTACATGATTATACAAGACCACAGTGTCACAATTTATAAATCTCAATAGATATATAACTAAGACATTTTGAGTTCAACATTGAGTAACCTATATATAAGTTATTGACTGTTCATTACCAATCGATAAAAGACATGGATTCAATTCAAATAAAGCTCACAATAGAGAAGATAAATATTAAAAATAGACTGTCGAACGAATATTTGATGAATACTACTAAAAGTAATACAGACTAAAAGACTAATCAATAACTAGTCACCAACTTTTACATTTTCCTGGATTCAATAGATAAACAAAGAAACAATGAATATACCGTTACTTCAGTTCGATATGGACTTATACATAATTTACACTAATTACCAATAATTTCTGTAAAGAAATCATGAAAAGCTTGAGGTTAACCGATAGCTGTTCCATCAATTTGTCAATAATAAACAATATTGACGATAAGACGAATAAATAGTATACATCTTAGAATTCTTTCAGACTACTCCAGCAATTACAATATTGATTTGTTTTTCTGATATTTATGTATATGTGAACTCGACTATCTCAACTAGTGTTAAATTGGTGAAAAAGAGACGAAATCTAGAGAAATCATGTTTCATTCTAATAATCACATCCTTCAGTTTGGAAATGAAGTTGAAAACATCAATAACATTTTTATTTACGACTCAGTTGTACGGTTTTAAGACAATAACTAGTAACTTTACAATTATGTGGTCTGGAGAATTGAACATACCAAGAACCAGGTAGAGATATTACGTGTGAATTTCGATTGTCTATAGAATAGTGCTTTTGATACAGTAGGTTTTAAAAAATTACAAATGTAATGTTTAGATTCTCTAAGAAAATTGTTAACTGTCTTCCTGCTTATGAACTGGTATCTTTCTATTTATTGTGTCTTTAAAGTTTCGTAAGATAACTACGCATCGAACTCATTTTAATTAATATAATTTCATTTGTTTATTAAAACTACGCCTACTTTCTTGTCTAGCTTGCTTATGATCAAAGTTTACAGAAGTAAATGTTCAAGCCTAAAATATGGAATAAATGTAGTAATACAAAAAGAAAGTGACTGATGAATAATATCTCCATTATATTTCTTTAAATGCTTACCACAAAAATTAAATGAATTGACAGTTAGTAGCAATTATACAACCGTTTAATAAAAAATCACACACACGAAGTGACTAGAATTACGCACGACAGTCAGGGGTATATTTAAATGAAGATAATTAAGTAATGGTATTTATGTACGTGAAAAACGAGTTCATGAAAATTAGATAGGAACAAGAATAAGAACAGTTCGATAATTATCGATAATACTCATGAAAAACTCACAAACAGGTTTGTAATAACAAATAAGAAGTGGAAACGAGTCGCGTTATAGCAAAAGCCACTGACTACACATAATATCTATCACAATTATATGCAACTTGAAACTGATTTTCTATCTGTTTTGTAAATTGAGGCACTATGTAAACACATATACCGATCATTTGTGGAAAAAAGACAAATCCAACCAATTCGATAAGATAATAATCCTTGAAGTTTCCCTGAACAATAACATTTTATCAACCTCAAAAATTAATTAAATTAAAATGATCTTAATAGGATTAAACGATATGCCGTACAATCATTTCACACATTCCAACTATGAATAAGAAATATTGACAAAACAATTATATACTATTCGCTAGACAATTAAGTAGTTCATGCTATAAAGCAACAAAATCATAAGAAACGATGAGATGGATTCCATGACCAATGTCAATAATTTTCAACAAAAAGATTAACACGTATTAAAGTACAAATGAGTAAGATACACTTTAACAAATAAAGATGAATGAAATCTAAGAATTATGCAACTGATAAAGAGAATTTCAAATTAAAAATCAACAAGACAACTGTTTTTGCAAAGGTCAATAATTAAAAATAATAATAACAATAACAACTCTAGCAATGAATTAAATAAAACAATTAGGGGTCATATGATCAAGAATCCAATCAGCTGCAGGTTCCAATTTCCAATTGAATGCACTAATAATTTGACAACATGAATCCCAATTGATTAGACCTAATTGATAAAGACGACAAACAGATAAAAGGCGAATGGCTAATTGTACACGCCAAGCACTAGTTCTATCTAGTTTGGTCCGCCAAGTTTCTATAGGTGCAGTGCATGGAATTGGAGGTACAACTAATTGAGATATAAGTGGAGAAAATGGATTCATTACATGTAATAACGCCCAATGAGCTTCAGATAAAGTGCATCCAGGAACATGAGAACGAACAAGTGAAATCTGAAATGCAAAGAGTAACATCGAATGTGAACGAATTCGCAATAACTAATAAGAATGATATATGTATACATGTTAGTTTATTAGGCCTAAAAGTGTTCTACGTATATCAACAGTTCATATAACTCAGTTCAATTAATTAGTTTTTGAAGGACTAAAAGTGACAGAACTTCATGAAAAATCTCATAATTTCCGAAAATGAAAGAAAAAACAAGGCTTGACACCTATCCGAATATTCTAGCCATCATAGAAATCGAATGACGAAGTGTGGAACACGTATATTTGTTGCCTCCTAGCACCAACGTTTGTGTTCAAATAAATAAATAGATAATCTGAGCTATTAAGAAACATAAAGAAGAACACAAGTGTTGTATCGTAGTGAACAAGAACACTGGTGCGGACAATCAAATGTGTTCGACACAAAATTACAGAGCATCTCAATAAAATCTGAGAACTATATATTAAATCGTTAATTTGCAAAATGTCCACTGATTGTCTCAAAATGCCTCAGACTTTATTGTTCTTACATTTTCATACAAATTGCATTCTATTCCCGCTTTTGCTTTCTTGATCTTCCATCATCTGCTGCCAGACATTACATTTCTGACTCGCATAATATACTACTTACATCAATATAAGTAGCACGAACCACAGTATCAAACTACAATTAAGTAATTATCATGAGGAATGTAAATGTTATCAAGGTTTGAAGTTAATTAATGTTAGTTTGGATTTGTTTTTTTAAAAAACACTAAACAAGACATGAACACTGTGAAAAAATCCTTATGCAGCAAAAAACCTTAATAACATATGGAAAGCCAAGTAAATAAACAAATACCTTAGACAAAATCATTAAAAACCATTCCTTTTAAATGGTTGACTAAAATAAAAAAAACCTTCTTCTGAACTTTTTATCATTGATGACACATTGAGAAAAAGTTTTGAGAATAGTCCATGAATAGAATAGAAAAATTTATTTATCAAAAACAAGGTAATTTCATGTTTGCATATACAAACAACAAATAATTCATAAAACATTGATATATGTATATAGAAACAAACAGACTAAGTAATATTGAATATATAACTTTAAGAAGTCATTAATGATTTACTAAAGTAATTCTTATTACAAAGAATAATTTGATGATAGTAGATGATGTTTTGTTCATTCTAAGTCGGCTAAAACGTAGAACCAGGCACATATATGCATCGGTCCAAGTTATCATACCGCATTAGCACAAAAAAGATGAACACGGGATTCATAAAAGTAGTTAATATATATATATATATATATAAGACAAAGATTGCATATAAGGATATAGTACAGGAAGAAAGAGTCCGTTTGTAGAAAGAAAGATATAAAACAATTTTAATCTCATAGTTTAAAGGAAGACAGAGAGTGTATACACCTACACTATCGATTCTGAGTCATATCGCCCACAGTCTACAACGATTGGTTACGAGAGTCACGCGAACCACACCCAAGTACTTTGCATCTACCAACATGGCTCACACCAGAAGTCGATGACTTCAAGCACTGATGACACGTTTTGATTCAGCCACCTCTAACTTTCTTCCAACCATCCCCCACACTAGTCAGAATTGCGCGTTGTGGTTATCGGTGTTCAGGCACGAGAAACACATGGCCCAACCATCTCGGTCAATGAAGATTCACAATCTCATCAACTGATTTGCCATCATTCCCTAATACCCTACTTTTAACCTCACTATTACTTGTCCGGTGATCCCAGAAGATGCGAGTAATATTTCGAAGACATCTGTGGTCAAATACTAGTAGCTAGCGAATATCTTCTACTCTTAATGGCCACGTTTCGCAGCCGTAAAGTAAAACAGAACAAACTGCTGAGCAGTAAACTCGTCGTTTAATTGATAGAAGGATATCTCGCCTTCGCCATAGGTGACGTAAGTTGTTTATCCTAAGTATATTAATCATTGCATATACATACACACATAAAAAAAAGAAAAACTAACGGACTGTTTTAATAAGATGAAACGAATTGAAGGGTAAATATTACAGCCAGTAAGAGTAAGAAATTTTAAAATTGATGAATTATATCTAAATGAATTTCTCAAAATAAATATAGTTTCTAAAAAAACTTACTTCATCATTAAAATTATCTGAAGACTCGAAAACGTCGTTTAGTTTTTCATTCACTTGATGCTGAGGATTTACACCTTTAAAAAAATCGTATAAGGAAACAAATGACTAAGTTATACTTGATAAAGGAAAGTACAATGTAGACTAAACTACTCAGATTTCCTTATAGAACATAAAATTTATGATATAACTGAGAAATAAACTATCATCTCTATAATATTGTCGTATCAAGTGACTATAACATCGCGGTCTCCGAAGGATTGCTGACATCCAGTGGCAACACCATGTCAGTAACGCAGAGGTTTGTCACCGTGTGTTCAGGCACAGCGACGATAATTCAATTAGTGTCACTATCTTAAAACATCGACTTCAGTGGCTTGGACATGTTCTACGAATATCGTTCCAGAGAATTCTACATCGTGCATTATTTGCCGACGCTGGTACTGGTAAGAAAAAGCAGAGAGGTGGTCAGTGTAGGACATGGTGTCGCGGTACGAAAGAAAGCTGTACAGAACTGTCTTTACGACTACGTGGTTGGATTTTGGTGCGAAGTTCATTCATCTATTTAGCTAGGTAGCGTTTTGGAATTTTAGCTGATCTCAATTCGTGATGAAAACCTTAAATCCTAACCGTCATTTAGTCTTAGCTGGTAGGTGGACATTCTCAGGGTCACTTTAGAGTCACTCAAACGTTGTCAATAAATCATAGTCTCATCGATCCGAATATTATTATATATTTAAAATATTAAAAAAACTTGTAGTGTCAGTTATTATGGCAAGCCCATATACCTTATTCTAACTTCCGGACATCCTATTTTATTCATTTTACTTGAGCCATATTTTGACCTTGTCAATTATTCGCTTGTCAGTCTTGACTGTTTTTTACATGAGCGTATATGTGTGTACACTTCATATCCCATGATTCATCATATGTCTGTAGCTTATTTTGTCTGCCTATAAATATGGAATAACACTTGACTAAAATGGAGTTGGCTTCCCAGCCATCCTCCATACGCGTCATTATTGCTTTGTTATGGCTCTCGCTCGCTTAGCATGCGAACGGGCATCCTCATTGGTAAGCCCGCCGACGACGAACGCAACGCAGCAAGCTACGTCGATGAAGGCACTTCTGCACTCTATACGTTCGACGAACATATTCAGCGAAACCAGCGCAATCTCCAGTCCGACGCAATCAGCACAGCCTGTGCAACATGACATGGACATGCTCAAGTCGTATTATCTTATCGATACTTTGTCCTCATGTCAATTATCCTCATTGATACATTTTTCGGATTGTCCCATTACGATTCAAATTATCATTATATGCTTATTATTACATCATTATCAATATCATGACCGAATGTGGAATTATTAATCTTGTTCGTGCTGTCATTAAATTATGACATTTTCGCAATCATATTACTCACCGAACAAATTATCATTTTATGAAAATTCCACTCCAGTTTGTGAGAACTCATTAGGATATTTTTACTATTCAAAAACGTGAAATTTTCCTGCTTTAAGTGAGTTCGTTCCAATTTTTTTTCATGTCATTTTGATCTAATATTACATTCATTCACTTAGTCGAGGTCCGCAATTTATGTTATCACAACATACATTTTTCATTTCGAAATCGCCTCCTATTATGTCTGTGGATGCTTCTGACTAGCTGATTAGTAACCATTACGCTCATTTTATCTATTCTTTCACGTGCATAACTACACTCTGCATCACTTATCACTGGAAAACGCTATTCGAGTGCTGCAACTACTATTCTATTCTATACCCATCGCTCGGTATATCAGAACATAGAGTTTAGAGCTAGCCTCTCAAAGATACACTCGTGTTCGTCACATCCAAGTCAGTCTCATACGTCGCAATCGCTAATCATATGTATTGGTATTTTTGTCATGCCTTGGTACGGTTTTGTAACAAACGAGATCGAGCGCATCTCCCTCAAACCACACAAACCACTCTAGGCTTCATGACCAAAAAGGAATACGACTCTACGTACCTCGTCTACAAAGTCTCTAATCTGTTCCTCTGGTCATTCTTCTACTAATACATATTTAATGATAACTCAATGCATCTGTCATAACGCAGACGACAACGTTCACTGACTTCAAATTTTATGATTATTATCAATTGCAGTACAGCAACGAATATCACCCGTCGACGCAGATATCATTTCACGACTTTCCTATTATCATCCTACGCATTTAAATTCGAATTCACTCATCACTAGTCAATGCGATTTATTCTGCTGCGGCTCAACAGAACATATATTTCGCATATTTCACTATTTTGTCAGCATCACAGACCAATTTCTGTAATATTCTACTGTACTCATTTTGACGATTTATTTCGCTGTCATACCCACAAACAATTTATTATTTTCACGATAATTTGAATCACTCATACAAACGTGTTATTTTATCGTTCAGACAGCCATAGAATTAGTAGATGTTAATTTCTTTGTACGCTCATTAATTTGCTCATATTCGCATGCTAACGTTTTCATTTTTGTCCGAGCCTTTGCGATATTCATGTATTCTTTTGCATAAGCATGACATTTTCATATAATACACTCACCCCTCATGTGACACTGTACTCTATTGAGTGTTGTACAATTTTTTGGCCATTGAATACATATATTTTGTATGTAAAGTGAATGCGATAGAACAAAGCGAAGTGACGCGCGGGGAGGATGGCTGGGAAGCCAACTCCATCTTTGTCAAGTGTTATTCCATATTTATAGTCAGACAAGATAAGCTACAGACATATGATGAATCATGGGATATGAAGTGTACACACATATACGCTCATGTAAAAACAGTCAAGACTGACAAGCGAATAATTGACAAGGTCAAAATATGGCTCAAGTAAAATGAATAAAATAGGATGTCCGGATGTTAGAATAAGGTATATGGGCTTGCCATAATAACTGACACTACAAACTATTATATTTGTGAACCGTAAAAAGATTAACTGAGTTGAGAGAAAAATCTGGTTGAATTTAGATTAAACATAATTCATAAGATTGATATCATATTTTTCGATGATGATCATTAAATTTAAGTCACCATAAAATCTGTAAGTTGATAGTCCATATATTGTGAAAGAAAAAACTGTAAAAGTTGAGACGTATAGGTTTTTCTGATAAGTTATCTTTTCTTCAGGTATATTCTGTTAGCAATCAGTGTAAATCTCACTATTTCACCTATAAATTTGAAGTCATTCCACTTATTAATTAATATTAAAAACAAGTATTAAATTACCAAAATCTTTACAAACCCTTCTGATAATAATCATCTCACTAGTGATTGGCATCAAGAGGCATTTGCTGGAGTTCTAGTGAGAAGCCATGACCAGTGGGGATCAACCGGGTCTGTTGTGAGATAGTAACTCACTGAAGACGATGGTACAATTTCGTGGATTGGTTGAAGTAAGACATTAACAATGTTGGATGACTGCTTAGTGATCTAAAGGCTAAGCGTTCGCGCGCGAAACCGAAGATCTCTAGTTCGAATCCCGCGGGCGGGATCGTGTATGCTTTAATTCCTTCATGAATCCAACCACTAAACTACTAAAATCTCCATAAAACCCTCTTCTAATAAATATCTAGTTAATCAAAATTAACAAAAATGGAACCAACATGCAATTAGTATGTATAGGTATGATGTATACATTTCAAAAGTTTATATTGATAAGTACGTAAACAGATTATGTAAAATATAATTATATGTATGACTTAATTCTTATTTCTTAGAAAAACAGACTACCTGAAGTAATATTATTTTCTGAGAGAGAAACCTAGACAGAAATAAAACAAGAAAAACAAATCAAATTAGATGATTATCTCACAATAAACAACATTCTGAAAATGAGTACAATCTGAAATTGATTTGATAAATGGAGAAAATAATTTGTCTGCATATTATAACTCACAGTTTGTTTTTAATGAATAGTTATCTCTGTAATAATTCACAATCCCAGTAGTAACACACAATACTAATAAGAAGGATGCATTCAGTAGCAGCAATTATAATCAGTTTGGAAAGATTATAATCTTCGTTTCATAATTAGATCATAATTCACCATTATTCACACTTACATTACAATTTTTGCCTGTCTATGTTTATTTTACTCCACTGTACTAATATATGCTATGAATTACAGCTAAAAAAGCTTAACTTTTACCATGGAAAAACCGTACGTGACATTAATTTTAAACAAAACTAGAAAATAGTAGAAAAAATCACTGAGTCGTAAACGAATGACTGAAATCGGAAATGTCGGGGCTAGATGTAACTAATTATTTCCAATGCATAGTGTGTTATGTCCTATGGCTCATCAAATAGTGAACAGTAGTGAACATAAATTTGTCTCATTTTCGAAATCCTTCATTTCATTTAGATATTCAATGGTTCACATATTGATTCACTTATATATTTATTGTTTAGTTACTAATTATTTTGATACATAAGTAAATAATTAACAACACGAGTGCTTATTAGTTTTGATAGCATTTTAATTTGTGAACTATGAAGAAATACACTAAGTCGATTTCCATAAAGAGTTGTGACTTAAACGACACGTCATAATGTCTTGTTACATGAATTAATTAGCGCTCCATCTATCAACAATTCAATCAATAAAGTGGTTAAAAAATACGTACATTTCTGGTTGAATAGCATTAAAAAGTCAGGGAAAATCCAGAAAATAATTCGGCCAATAAGGGCATTTTGGAAGCTTACATAAGGAATCAAGCGAATGAGTGGTAATGTTTTTCTTGATCCTGATCGGAAAATTATTGAATACATCAAGAATTTTAGCAACTGCCTAAAATATCAAGGTCACCCAGGATCTTAGAAATACTGCAGTTTTTCTGTACATATTGGGACCTATGAAGTAAGGTTTGTTTTATGTTTTCCGCCTGTTATTCCATTGAGTTTTAAAAGTAGGAGACTTTTGTGGACTAGAACGCTTCTAGGAAGCCAGTGTTTAGGCATTTAAGTACAACATATCACATAATTATTAAACACACATGTACACAAACAATAAACTGGCGAAAAAGTAAAATTTTCCAATCAAATCAATGTTATACAAACACAAGTTTTTTATATATTAGTAGAAACCAAAAAAAATAAAATCATACTTAGGGAACGAAATAATGATCTGGATCAAAAACCGTAACGAATAGAAAAAAGGCAAGAATAAAAGTGCAATGTAGATTCGAAAGTCCCAACAATACTCACCCAGTCTAAAATTCAACTCATTGTTATGAAATTAAAAAAAGATGACAAACAATACAGGCAGTTCAATGTGATAGTTTTTGTTTGAAAACTGAAAGCAAGTGACACTAAATAGATATTGATGATATAGAGTAAAAAAAAACACCATACTAGCAATGAGAACAGGAACCAGTTTGGCAAATTATGTTTTATATATATATATATATATATATATATGGTCTGAATAGCTAGAAAATAGGTAACCAGACTGTCAGTACACATGAAAAGTAATTGAAGTGTTTTCTGAACTATCTAGTAGTCTAAATAGTCATCGAATTATATTTTAAAGGAGTCCTGTATGGAATAAAGACTTTGGAAACATTTATAATGATATAAATGATCGTATTTTAGTTTTGCATAATAATAATATAGTAATAACATCGAAATAAATATTATGCCATAATATTTAATAGTTTATATTTGAATTTAATATACTAAGTAACATAAAATAATTGAGGGTTAACACTTGATTTCACTGTTCAAACCTTACTTATGTATAACAAGTAATTTTTAATAAAATGTTAAGACATTGATATTCAGTTGTGTCATGATATTCACATCATGAGATTAACATTCGACTGTGTTTTTATGAGATGAATAAAGCTGAGTATGATACGAATATACAAATTTCACTTGAAAATTACAATAGCAATACAATTGGAAAAAAAAACTTTTTAAACAGATGTATTTTGAATAAAAATGAAAACTGTTGACTTATGACCGCTGTCTAATATCATGTGGAAAAAACAGTTGAAATCTGTCGACGCTAGGTTCTTATCAATGCTCTATTCAGTGGCTTCTCTTCCTGCCCTTGTCATTGAATCCAGAACACAGTAATCAGTCTTCACTTTACAAATATTATATTTCATACATACGTAGTTTACAGACATATCATACCATAAGATAGAAAATAACAACTACATATGATCAAGCCAACAAAGTGGCTGCGAGTACAGAAGGCTGTGAATAATAAACTGGCAGCAGATTAACAATAGTAAATCATATAGCGAACACGTATGATAAAACGGATATGAATATATGGTAATCTAGTTTCTGAATAATTATATATAAATATTGATAGTCCATAAATTAGTCCTAGAAGTTATCATCCCTTTAATCTTCATCCTGACATTAAAAAAAACAAGAACTGACGATACGAAAAAGCCAAGTGAATAATTTCATAAAAATTGATACAAGATAAAAATCAAAGACAATACAATTATTAAACAGTATTTATACAAACTGAAATAGTAAAGTTAACTAAGCAACTACAATAATCATTGTTAATTAGAAATCATTGGATAGTTAGCTGCTTAATAATACAGAATTAAGTGATTATTATTTTTCTTATAAATATTTGAAAATATTATTGATGAGAAATACTTATGAAGGTTGGCAAGCAAAGAAAAAAAGAGCACCGGTTAAAAGCAAAGAAAATATGATAAAATAATCATTAATTATACACTTGTATATGTATGTTAATAAACAGTAAATAACTTACACGACTACAGATATTTAACGAATCTGATTTTGAAATTTTATTTAAACAAAATAAATACAAGTATATATAGGTACAGCACAATGAAATATAAGTAAATAAAATAGTAGCAAAATGATAGCCCAGCAATAAAAATATTTATAGTTTACATTACGAACTGATATTTATCACACTAATAGGAATGAATGATGTTTATTCAATATGACTAGTCGATCAAAGTTAGAAATATAAATTACCAAATAGTTACGCAACATCTCTTCTAACTATTGATTATGATAATCACGCGGACCACAATCCAGGTAATCTGAACTTGCCGACATGACTCAGTTCAAAAGTTGATTAGTTCATAAACAGATAACTCCTACTCGTTGGGACGCTCCTAACTTTGGTCTAATCAAAACTAGCTAGCACTCGTCATAGAATGGATAATCCTAAAAAGTTAAATCATTTACTCACAACCATAATGTAAAGTTCAAATATACATATACTTGTCAAATTGTGATATTTTCTTACAACAGTGATCAACAATATTATCTTACAATATATTAAGCTTACCGTAACAGAATTAGTGAATTTATCATTTGTCGAATTAAAAAAGCTAGGATTTGAATTCAGAGCTTCTGATGAGTTAGTAAGAAGACCTAAGAAGACACAAAAATAACAATAACTAAAGATGGAAATAAAGTAAAGTGGTTATATTTGCATATGAAACACATTTTTTATAATATTTAATTAGTCTAATTACGAATACAAAAATTGGATATTAACGATTATTCCAAAATAGTTGAAAAATGAACAAACAGAAAAGATCGATTATTGCATATAGAATTTACTTGCAAACCCAATAATTCACAAGACTGAAACTCTCTTTTGAGTCTCTGCAACGATAGTTGTTTGTAATATAATGCATTATATGTCGATCGTTGAGCTGATCTCGGAGGTTGTCAAGTCAGTAAAAACATGCCTCCATCTATATGCCTCGAGTTGAATAGGAAGATTTGTCAAAGTATATATGTAACAGATGGTTATTATTATCAATCAGCTTCTTTGGAACACTATGACCTGATACTGCCCAGGTACCCAAAACGAAGAAGGTGGTTTTGTTGGGAGAACACACCCATAGCCTTCGACTTAAAAATCTGATCCACAAGGCAGTGGATCAACGTCAGGAGATGCAGTCCCATGGTAGCCGATCACCAATGATCGGTTCATACGCCATTTGTTCCCTTAGGATAGTGGGGCCCATGTGCACCATTGGTTTGGAGTCGGGGTTTTCCAACTCCCCTGGGTGGATCCTCCGTGACCATCAACCCGGTTAAAGTGCCGTACATTCGCTCTTCGTCCTCTCAGTTTCGTAAACAACACCCCCCACCGCGAGAAGGCAGTGAGTAGTATGCACGTGGCTATGTGAGAGTATTTCGAAAGGGAGGGCTGGCTCTCCCACCGTCAGCCTTACCGGGACATTTGGGGTGTTATTATTATTATTACAATGGCTGCTTCTATCACGATATTTAGATGATGAACTATGTATTTTCATCTCAACTTAACGATAATCACTGTTATCCTCATAATGGTTTTTGTGGAGAGTTTTAGAAATTTCACAGGTTGAAATCATGAGTCAATTGAAGCTAGACCACCATGGAAAACCTGGAAGCACTAGACGGCCGTTTCGTCCCAGTATGGGACTCCTCAGCAGTGCGCATCCACGACCCCGCACCCAGCGGGGCTCGAACCCAGGACCTACTGGCTTCACGCGCGAGCACTTAACCACTAGACCACTGAGCCGGCATCCAACGGTGTTAATGTCTAACTTCAACCAATCCACGAAGTTGCGCCACCGCACACCATTGTCTTCAGTGATAATATATTCCTCATGATTTATAAATTTTCTTCTTTAATAGTTAATTGTTTATTTAAAATTATTCAGTCGAATTTCATAAAGGAACTAATGATAATGCATATCTATATATACAATTGTAAAGCATTGAAAATGAATTCATTGAAAAATATTCCTTTACCGAATAAAATCTTTTATATGACCAAATGGGTATATTTTATTTAATATAATTAAATAAAATAATTCACGTCTTTTTAGATTCTATTTTCCAGATCAAAATTAATATGAGTAGAAAAGAAAAATATACCACAGTTACTACTTAAAATGTTTTTTTACGCCTGCTACTCCTAATGAAGCATAGGTCGCTGACCAGCATTTTTCTGGTTAGCGTTTTTTTAGCGAGTTAGTTTTCTACAGGATGGGGTCGCTAACCTCATGCCGAACCCTCCTCCTTTATTCGGGCTTGGGACCGACAGTAGCCCCCGGAGAGACTCCAGGAGGAGTTACTTAAAATGTTAATTTACATATTTTTATCAGTATTTATAAGTCTTTTACCAATTATTAGACAATTCAAAGAAGGATTCCTTAGTCATCATTGTATTTTCGCACACCTATTACACATTCAATTCTGCCAACATGACTATAAATAAAATTAAGCCGAGCAAAGACCTACTATAGCAGAAGCCTCGGAATCAGTAGGAATCAACCAAGATTCGCAAATACAACGAGTAGAAAACTAACTCGATCACATTTGATGAAGAAACTCCGAAACAGGTGGAAACTTTCACGTACATGGAAAGCATCATCGATGAACAAGGAGAATCTGATGAAGAGATAAGAGCATGGATAGGCAAAGTAAAGGCCGCATTCCTACAGTTGAAGAACATATGAAATTCAAAACAACTGTCAACCAACACCAAAATCAAAAACTTCAATATGAACATCGAAACAGTTCTATTGTACGGAGCTGACACATGAAGAACTATCACAACCATAATAAAAAAGCAAAAGTATTTATAAACAATTGTCTACGAAGGATACTCAATGTCTGTTGATCGGACACCATCGGCAACAACCTACTGTGGGAAAGAACACACCAGCTTGGAAATGAAGAGGAAATTAGAAAAATTTGCTTCAGGTGAATAGGATAAACATTGAGGAAATCACCGAACTGCATCACGAGGTAAGTACTAACTTGGAATCCTGAAGGGAAACAGAAAAGAGGAAGACCAAAGAACACACTGCGTCGAGAATTGAAGACAAATATGAGGATGAATAGCAACTGGAAAGGATTCTCCGCGAGAGAGTTCGATGGGGAATGCTGGTGGGCGTCCTATGCTCCTCCATGAGGGGTAACAGGTGTAAGTAAGTAATCAAAAACTTGATATTATCAGAACAGACAATAAATACTAACAATTAAAATTATATATGTAGTGTACTATCGATAAAATCTGAGTATATCTGGAGTATTTTTAAATATACAGAAAGAAACTGATCAAAAGGAAAAAGAAAAAAATTCCAACAATAAAAGTGATTTCCGTTAATCGCATACAAATGTAACGAATAAGTAAACTCGAAGCTTAGCTAATTGTTTAAGCTTAGAAGCATATTACGTGATTTTACGGAAATCCAAAAGAAAATGGTACTCTTTCTTATGATGAAAAAATGCTCGCGAAATAACAGAAAATACGAATAAACTTACATGATCTAACAAGTAATTCATTTTCTAATCTAGTAGTGCAATGATCAACATTTTGTTTAGTTGAAAATACTGGACTACTAACAGTTGGTGTTTGATGTGAGATATTATTATCATAATAATTATTATTATTGTTGTTATCGAACACCATATCTAAAACGTCTAATTCGGTTTTATGGTTTAGATTATTAACAGTGGTATCAATCTTATCGACGCACTGGGAATGTTGTTTAATATTTAACTTATTAAAATCAAAAGGATTATCAGAAAAATTAACTGAATTTGTTTGTTTTGCTGATTGATTAACACTGAAATTCAAAGAAGAAGGAAAAGGGAAAGATGTACAGTATGATCTTTGCATGTTAACTTGAGGATGAAAAGGATCATAACAATATCGATTTTGAGTGTTATAATTGAGCTGTGAAGAAACATTATAATTCATTTGTAAAAATGGATTTGATGAATAATTGATTGTAGACGGGGATACAGTTCTAGGTATAAATAAAGAAGAATAAGGAGTAGGCTTAATGATCGATGGAATGTAAATTGGGGCGGTAGGAACCTAAACAATAAAACAAAAATAGGTAATTAACAGAGTTAAGTGCAAGTAAAATGGAAGTACGAAAAATTAACACAATATTACACACGTTAAAGTATCGGCAATGTTTTTTTAGTTACTTCCAAACTGGAGACTGATTACCTGTTAACCTATATATGATGTACAAATGCAACATATATTTCAATAAATAGAAACAAAGAAAACTAAGATCACGTTTCCATCAAATTTGTATAATTAATACCAACGTTATAAAGTGGTTTTATCATCATTATTATAAAGAAAGTAATGAGAACCACTTAAAAGCCTCGGTGAGATGGAATGTAATAGAGCTACAGATTTTTTTTCAACTTACAGTTTGTAATTTATGAGTTTCAGATTTTAATATCTATGATATAGGATAAAATCTATGGCAGTCGAATACCGACCATACAGAAATTTAAATATCACTAAAAATAATGAAGAACTGTTTCAATACTTCACAGTTTCAAATTAACGAATACAACAAAGTAAACACATAAAGATTTGTGAGTAACAGCAGAGGGAATTATTATTCAACTGACCAAGATGTAATAAGTTAAAACCTTATTATGCATTTTGGTTGAGGTTTGTTTTAGTAATTCTGGATACTTAATAAATAATCCCATACAGTGAATTAATTGAAATAAAATCAATACTTATAGTATTATGAGTCTAATATGATGTGTAAGTAAAGTATTAATTAACTAAAGTGAGAGTGACCTACAAAATTGGTTACATTTAATCGCTTATGACATCCACTCATGTATATTTCTCTGTAATGAAGTTATAGCGATTAGTCCCCTTTATAAATTTCGATGGAACAATGAGAAGACGGCGTTGATGTGGATAAATAAGTCAAATGTAAGCACTTTATATTATCAAATGGACGAAGTCTATCCTACTGGGCAGCTGTATTTCCTTCTGAAATCGGCTTCATTAGTGGTTTATGTCAATTGTTCCGTCATGTGACCAGCCATCACTGTACATCATCTACCAATTGAGATTCTTTTATCTTATTCTAACAATTAAAAATCCATTCATCACATGAGAGGATCAAACATCGATTTCATATCCCTGGTTCAAAAGATATTTTTCATATTTAAAAATCGGAAACTGAATTGACATTGAAATGGGATTAACAACTGTGTTACAAACAGTGACACAACTAATCAACTGAAAACAAAATAGTTTGAATTACGATGAGAACTTTCTGTCCGCTTTTCTATTTATTTCTATCTAACAACACCGACCAATTAACCAAGGTTAGACTAGAGATAATCAAAATAAACTAAGGAACAGACTTTTAAATGATTACTTTGTCAATAACAATTGAAAAAGAACAAGAAAACTTACCGTAATACGATATCTGGGGATAAATGCTGACGGATCTGGTACAGGACTGTAAAGATCAATTAAAGGTGGGGCTGATGGTTGGCAATCAAAATCTTTGGCACTGATAGAAGAAACTTCATCTAATAAATTGTCAAGCGAAAATGAATGTTTTTTCGAAGGAGTTATACTTTCAGACATGGATGATATATTGTGTTTTTCAACTTGATGACTATTACTCATTGTACTAATGTCAGATTTATTAGGATTATTATCTTTATCAGATAAATGTTTAACATTATCCTTAAATTTTGTAGATTGTACAGAAGCATCAGAAGACTTTTTGTTGTTAACGTCATCTGCTAAGATGACAGTCTCGTTTTCTTCCGGTCCAGGAGGTGGTGGCAACATTGTTATGGGATTATAAATACAAACTACAGAAAATGAAAAGAGAATAACATAATGACCAGAAGGAATACGGTTGTGAATTCAACTACTATATACCCCCACAGTAAATAGGATCACTGAACTAATAATAATAATAATAATAATGCCCTACACATAGACAATAACACAAAAGACCTGTTATCCTAACACTTATTGGTACATGCCGATTCTCCTATGCTCCAATGCCCAGTTATTAGAACTCGAAAAGATATATGGTGGTATGAAATAGTTACAAGACATAGCGTTAGTAGAGAAACACAAACTGTTCATAAATAGATTATTTACAGTGTAAAACTGAGTAATAGGTGTATGATTAATGAATCATAATTTGTGAACGCGGAAAGATCTATGAATATTTGATGATTTAAATAAAAAATTACGATAAGAGCAATCTGAAAACACCATAAAACAAAATATTTTATACATAGACAATTAAAATAATAATAGCTCAAAGTAGTATAGTTATAAAAGTTCCATCTTTGTTACTTATCTGCCGATTGTCTAATAAATACTATTTTCATTTATTGAGATCATTGACCGATCAATGTTAGACGATCATTGAAAACCTGGAAGCATTATACAGTCAGTTAGTCAGTAACAACGTAGAACTTCGTACGTACGTACATCAGTTCGAGTTGCCACACCACATTAGCACACATATGTAGTGGTCGATTCAAATCCCGTAGTGGTAGAGGTAATAAGAGTATAAGCAGTAATCGGGAAAATTAGTGTTTGGAAATGTTATTTAAACAGTATAATACAGTGAAATAAATTTGGGAAGAGAAAAAAAGGAGACAAGGAGGAATAAAGAGATCAAAATTTGGGAGAACACAAAGAGTGTATGCACCTGCGCCATTGCAAACGATTTTGAGCTATGTCATTCAGGGTCTTTAACCATCGGTTGCTATCATCTCGCGGTCCCCAACCAGGTAGTCTACACCGTTTCATTCTAGTATGGGACTCCTCAGCAGTGTACATTCACAATCCTGCAGTCAGGACTCGAATACAAGACCTAAGGTCTCGTGCGCGAACGCTTAAACTACAGACTACTAAGTCGGAATTCAACGGTGTTGTTGTCTAATCTCAACTAATCAACGACATTGCGCGACTATCTTCCATTGCAAATCTTAAAATAATTCAAAACTTGTATATCTTTTTCCTAGTTGGGTTTAGGTATTAACTGGTTAAAATAATATGTTAAATGTATGATACTGTTATCTAGTTTCTCAAAATGATTGATATCTAAAAAGATTGAGTGCTTTCAACCCATTACAATTATTTTATTATGAACAAACTTTTACGGATGCTAAAATTCTAGAAGTAGATAAATTAAGCATACAACTTTGATAATATCCTTTCAATTATCATTAAAAATTTATTTTTTATCGTCAGTGGATTACTGACAGATTTCAAAAATGTAGCTTATATGCAAATACTGACCATGCGTTCTAATTACTGAGAACCCTTGAGAATTTCTCAGGACTCTTCTGAAACTGGAAAATGGCTAAAAATACATACGTCAATCAGTGTCCAATATAAAATCCCTGGAATTCTAGAAGAATAGACTTTTCCACATACTGATTGCATAATTACCGATATAATTATTAATTTTATTATAATTTTAGAAGCCTTTAAGTTAACAACAGTTTGTTTTCTATTCAGAACTCAAGTGAAGAACTTATTTGGATGACTAAGAAGCTGTTAGAAGATCAGTGTCAACCAGATATATCACTTACAGAACATCAAGACATTACGTTTATTAATGAAAGTAAATGAAATATGAAGATAATTCGAAACATAAAGCTAAGAAAAATGAAATGATATGAAACAGAATTAACTTACACTGACGACAAAAATATTCAAAACATTAGTGAAATTTACCTTCATGGTCATTGTAGCCATTTGCAACATAGTTGGCAACTGACTTTCTATGACTGTTTATTAACTCAGATTTGGGACATTTTCGTAATTCCACATTATAAGCATTTAATCCTACAGTTGAATTAGGTGTTTTATCAAGAATTCTTCGCTCATCTTCCTCTCCTTCATTATTATTATTATTATTATCATCATCATCGTCATATTTATCCAAATCTGGTGCATCTGAAAGTGATAAGTTAGTGAACAGACATCCATAAGACGAAGAATACGAATCCATAGTACGGCATACTGATTCATTTTCTACATCATTAAATGTAGAAGTTCCAATCAATAGCGAATTATCATCAAATGGTAAGAGATTGTGATTTGAACAATTGAATAAGTTTTTAGTTTTTATTTCATTACGTTTTTCATCAATAGGAGTAGGAGACCGGTCACAATAACTACACGAATTAGAAGAATGAAATATTTTAGACACGTAAACTCATACAAAGAGAGATTATTAAATAACAATACAAACTTGAAAGAAAATGATCACAAAAATAATACTTATTTTATCCAAAAGTAATCTATACTACTTAAAAAGAAAAAAAAACTATTACAGTCAAAATTTGATCAACTTTTGGGATCCAGTTATAGACCAGTACTATGCGTATATTTTTATCGTATAATTGTTAAATAAATAAACTACTCATATTCATGTTCCTCTTACTATGAGCCTTATTTTGACTTATGAACTATTATTAGATGATTTACCATTCTTGAATAATGCCCTGTCTATTAATCACTACCTCCCACATTCACAGCCACATTTGGCCAAATCTTGTACAAATATTGTTTCCTATTTTATAGTACGATGTGGTCTGTTTGATTGGTATATAAACCCCGTACGTTTGAAATAAATGATTCATATCTCAAAGGTTGAGATTGGTGTTATGGACTTCACTAGCTGGGCTAGGCAGGAAGCAGGACCGATAAGTATTCTAGACTGTTTGTACGGGTTTTACGCGTCACTGGTCCGATCGATAAGTCACTGCTCTCCAATGGGCGGCATCGTTACGTTATACATTAGCAGGGAGCACAGGCCACAAGTTATAACGACATTCAATTAAATTATAGATTCTTTAACATTTCGATCACAGTAATCAACAAATAATAATTTAAAAATTAATTACAAAAACCATAAGTATTCTAATAAATTACATTACAAAATACATTATCACAAAGAATTTATATATATAATTACAATATAAACCACTGTGTAAATGAATAAAAAAAGGAGAAATCAGTGAAGAAAATTTTCTTCTCGATGAAATCATTTACTTAAGTTGTATGTTTGTGTTATATCCGAGCGAAGATTAAATCACGAGTAACTTCTGAAACATATTAATTGACTAATATCATCTATACATTCTTATGGTATAACTATTCAACAATTAGATCATGTATATTTATATTCCTCTTGTTATAAGCTTCATTTTGACCTATAATTTATTACCATACGATTTACTGTTCTTAAGCTATGTTCAGTTTATTGACTACTGCCTCTCACGTTCACAGTCACTTTTTGGCTTTATTGTGTACAAATGTTATTTCCTATTTTACGGTGCGTTGCGGTCTGTTTGGTTGATATATAAACCCAGTATGTTTGAAATAAATGATTCGATTCGCATATTGGAAGCTGGTATTTGGTGTTCTGGACTCAGGTGGACGGGTTAAGCGGACATAGGGCCAATAAGGACGCCAGACTGCCCATACCGCTCGAACGTCATTGGCTTGGCACAGTGCTAAGATTGTATAAGTCGTATTTTGATTGGGGGATAAATCACGTGATAAAAAGCCTGACATAAAGTCACAACAGTTTGTATATTTATAACTATTTGGTAAATATTTATGGTAAACATTGATTGATCTTAACATGACTTTTGTAATGTTATACAAAAGTGTTGAAGTGCGTATACTAAGGTTGATGGAAGCCATAGCTATATGAAAATTCAACGCTATTTTATGTATTCAAAAACAGTTTGTTCTCTTTAAACCTAACCTGATAATATTGAAATTAGAAATTAACACCATTGGATCCCGGCTCAGTGGTCTAGAAGTTAAATATTCGTGCGTGGGACTGAAGGTTCTAAACTCGAGTCCCGCGTGCGGGATCGTGGATGTGCACTGTTTAGTTGTCCTATATTAGGACGAAACAGTATTCCAGTGCTTCCAGGTTTTTAATGGTGGTTTAGTTTAGATTGACTCGAGTATTCAATTGGTAATATTAGCTTATTGTCCAGTGTGATGAGCATTCACATTATTTTTTCATATTATTTTCTTTATCATCTTTGTTTCTTCTTACTCACTATATGCCTAGTTGACCTTTTCTTTTCATATATAAATGTTTTTAAAAACTATATGTGTGATCAGGTTGTTCGAAATGTATTACGGCAATATATCACATAGTTCTGATAATCGTCTTCTTAATACACGATCAAAGTAAATGATTTCGTCGAAAAGAGAATTTTCTTCCCTGAATTCTCTTTATTTCAATTCAACGACCAATATAGTTTAGATGAAATGTATACAGTTTTTATTATGTTCATATAATTTATTACTCAATTATAAAATAGCTAGTTGATATACTTCATAATGAAGTATTAGCAATTCACTTTGACTCCATTCTATTATTTCAATTTAGGTGCAAATTACTGTATTAGTTTGGATATTTGTCAATCATTCTAGGAACTGAACCTATCATAAACACACTTACTGGAACAGATACAAAAATCCTATCTGTGTGAGGAAGTAATATGAATGAAATCAGCGCTAAAAGTGACTTTTATCGTGATGAAATGTGGTTAAAGTCAACTCAATACTTTTTTTTATCCAAATTGAACTAGTTGCGAATTTTAGTAACGAGAACAAAGAACAAAATATGTTGAGATTTGACATGGTAATGAGAATTAAAAATGTAGGGATGATGGATTTTTAAAAATGTAATTGAAAAAAATATTTGAGACTAACAGACAATCTTTGGCACTATTAATCCTTAGATAATTAATTCAGCTTAGTATACTTACGTATGCGATATGTTGTACTGTAATAAACTCGATTCTGTTTCATTTTTATTAATATGTTCATTATGTGACAAAGAATCACGACGCGATGATTGATTTATATCACCAACTATATTGAGAGAAAAGAACAAAAAATGAATTCAGTTAGAAAGGCGAGAAAATCATCTTTATTTAAAGTTAAATTTAGCGCGAAATATTGTAATGTGTCCCACCATTAGAACTACCTAGTTGATTAACTTGCGTGATAAAAAAAATACCTGTCTAACTTATTTAATGTTTATCTTATGTAGCAAGTACATGTAAAATGTATGTAGAATACATTTGGATATGGTTTTGTGCAGCAAGATTCAAACTTAAATTTCTCCAGTTGACACGATATAGGTGAGTATACACATCATGTGTTTGTGCTCATAAACCATTTCAAAATCAAACAACAGGTTAGAGATTGTAAGCGAGGCATACTATTAGAGGAAGTTAGCGTTGCATTCATAGAAGGTCTCAGTTTACATAAACTTGTTTAAGTCTAAAGATATATTTGTTATTTCTGTACATTACTATTCGAATTGGCAATCAAACTAGTGATTATTAAAATATTTTCATTCGTGTAGTTGGTTTGGTGTACCATAAGAAGTGTATAACTTCATTGAATAGGGCACTGGGGTATAATACTAGTTCAGAATGATTATCATGAAAATAAACATTGTTCATTAGCTTTAAATTAGTTATATTCTGATGCCCGCGATGACGTTATCGTGAAACAAAAAAACAGCCATAAAGTGATATATATTCTTCTACAGAATTGTCCTAGCTAGTATAAAGAATGTTATATGCAACGTGCTCAACGTGAAAATTTTCCTTCACTTTCCTATTTAAGATACTTAACAGTAGAAGATGATCTAATGTACACAGTGAAAAGTAACACTGTAAACTTTAGGTGAAAAAAAAAATAAAGCAATTTGTAGTCTTATTGAAAGTTCTTGATAATATGAATGTTTATCAATTCTGACAAACTATATCAAGCATTTAGCTTGATGATATTTTCACGATAATATTTACTTTTGTAAAAATTTTATTTAAAATAATCTCAGTGACTAAAATTTAAATAGTTCCAATGTTTCATCTAGCAAACTTGTCTGGAACATTCTTCGATCATTTTGATTATTACACAGAAGTCCAGACAAGTTTGCCTGATGAAACGTTGGAATTATTTAAATGTTAATTACTGAGATTATTTCAAATAGAATTTTAATACAGTTTCTATTAAACGATTCGTTTAAATATTGACAAATCTTCGTATAAACAATGAATTTCATTTTACAGTTTAAATACTAAACGAACAAAACTAATCATTAAAATATACAGTTAAAAGATATTCATTTCTGACAGTCTATCAGCTATATTCTCCTGTTAAGTTTACCTTATAACAGCATAAACGAATATGATTTGTATAAAGAATCAAAATTCCAGACATCAGTTAAAGGAATATTAGGAAAAGCAGAATAAAATGCATCCAGCATATTGATTATTCAAGTGAATGTTCTATGTGGACATAGACAAGCATAACTTACATGTCTGTGTAGTGTTTTTACAAAGTTGAACAATACCATGTGGAAATGAGCCTATTTCACCAGTCCGTCTATTTTGACCACGCCACCAAAATTCACGGGGTTTTCCGTCAATAATAATAACAATATCACCTGCTTCTAAGCCTAAACGATCAGCTTCATCAAGATTTTGAGTTGCCATGACGATAGTTGGACGAATCTATCATTTTTGTCACAAATATAAAGAATTACAAACAAATGGTTAAAAAACACAAAATCATATCCAAACAACGAATCTTACTTACATTTCATAATGAAAGAATTCGAAAAAGTGAAGTGAGTATTCTTATATTTTTAATTTTCCTGGATTCGAACAATGCAAGGTAAGAGGAAACTCACAAACTGAACATTAGCAGATTACAAGCAGTACTCAGAATAGATTGAAATACAAGGTCAATTATACGGAAGTTTATTTCATCGTAATATATAAATACTTAGTGTGAACAATTATTGACAAAAAGCACACTACTAAATTAAAATGCGTGAAGACTGAAAGCTCTCAGTTTCTCTCAATCAATACACCATTAAACAGTTGTTTATAAAACGGTAATGATTTTACTGACGTTTGGGGGAACGAATCGGCTAACACATAAAATAATTGTTACGATAAAATAAAATATTCTCAGTATGAGCTTGTAGAGATTATTGAATTTCATTAAAATCATGAACCGATCAATGCTAGACCATCACTGTAAACTTAGACGGCCGTTTTGATATAGTATGGGACTCCTCGACAGCTCGCACCCATGATCTTATACGTGGGAATCGAACACAGGAAATTCGGTCTCGCTAAATATCTAGACCACTGAGCCGGCATCCAACAGTGTTAATATCTAATCTCAACTAACCAACGAGATTACACGACTATCTTCCATCGTCTTCGTTTGGTAAGTGCCTCACACCCGATACGGATTAACTTCACTGGTAACGGTTCCTCACTAGAGACAGGGGATCATAGGTCAGATTCCTGCATGAGGGACCGTAGATGTGTACAGTTGAGAAGTCCCGTACTAGGGCGAAACGGCTATACAAAGCTCCCAGGTTTTCAATGGCGGTATAACTTGGATTAGTCCATGATTTCAATGAAAATGGAGCATTTTGAATCCCGATTAAAAATTTAGACCGATTTATAAGAACTGTTATTTTGGCACTGTTACTAAACAAGGTATATTACTTTGGTAGAAACCATTCTGAATTGAATTGACCATTACATTGTTGAGGCTAACCAGTAATAGTAGAGTGGTCGTATCAACTAACCAACTAACTAACTAACTAACGGAGTAGTAACTGCTGTATGCTATTCCAAGTGATAAATTAAAGATACAAACATATAAACATTGTACTTCAGTTAATTTGTGGATCACCATACAATCCTACTACAAACCTGCAACTATTGTCAACTTGAATAATGATAATTAGATTGTAGGTTTAGCTTTAATGCTTTGTTGAACCATTGTTGAATGGAGAACCGATTGGTAACCGATTTCCAGATGATGGAGATAATAGTTAACAAGTTAGAAGTTGAGGTCTCAATATTGTTACGCGATAAGTAGATATGGGGGCATTAAAGACCTTTCAAAGTTATGAGTAGCATCAAAAATGTAGATTATTTGTTGTATTTTTTTACCACAGTATATATTGCCAATTGAAACAGCAATCAATAAAGACTCATAAGTTTTGCAGTACATTGCAGGATAAATTTTACCTGATCTAATCTTTCGGCGAGGTAGGAAAAGGTCGGTCGACGATACGGTTCAGCTCTCCAACAAGCTAACATTATCTGGTATAAACGACGTGGACAGGTAAATCGGGGCCATGCCAACCTACGACCAGAATCTAAGAGCTCTAACAAACGCACAGGAGTAAGACCCGACCAAGGATCTGCACCACCGGTCCACATTTCCCAGAATGTAACACCTAGACTCCAAACATCACTTGCTTCAGAAAAGGTTCGTTTATGCAAAGATTCTGGAGCGGACCTAGAGATACAACAAAACACAAAAAATCTACTTATAGCTATGTAAAATTTAAATACCTTGCAGTGAATTAAGGGCGATAAAAGCTTTTTGCCGTAGTTCCTCTTAGGATAAAATGTGCACGTCATTCAGATGTACAATAGAAACGCTGTAAAACAGAAATCACATTGATCTGAAGTGCATAGTTACTAATAAGGTGTTTTTCGTGTTCTCGTCAAGGGAAATTACTGACTTCCTAAACATTTAAAAAGCGCAACAATAACAAGAAGGCTACTACCAATAATAATAATAATAAATAATAATAATAATAATAATGATAATAATAATAATAACAGAGGACCCTACAGTTTATCAGCTACTTCACGCAGATCGATTACAACTCATAGCTCTTGTTGTGATAATCACAGTTGTTACATTCTCCAATTTAATGTTGTTTGGACACGTCACTTGACTCATCTCAAGTGAGAACAAAAATTAAGAGGTAGCAATGTATATTTTAGTAAACCGGAACAAAAAAAGTAGTATAAGGACTGAAATTTACATGGGGATCTTCTTACATCCCGACTCATCCTCTGACTCTGGTTAATTGAAAAATGGACGAATCAACTTCTGCCTATTTGCGACCAAGCTAGGCATGCAGTAGTCAGGAATCTATCGTACTAAAATCATCATTTAGTTCGATGTGACCTAATAAATGTTTATATAATCCTAAATTCTGAAACTTTAAATATGATAACAACTGAGTACGAAGTAGCAAGACGCCAAACGTAGCCTTGAGATTGCTTAATATAACTACAGTTTCAGTGTGTTTTGATTGAAACAGTTGGTTTCTATCAATGAACATAGACTATATTAGCCTTTGGATAGATTAGGTTAAATTGGAAGACAGCTAACACTCTGTTTAGTGTTGGGAGATTATTAAAAAAAATTATAAAGTCAGCTGGATCATTGAGAATGTCGTAGTTACAGTATGCTAACACAAATAACTTCTATCCTACAGTTATCACTGTTATAAATCAAATCATGCTATTGTCCTCCTACTTACGTTTATTTCTAGTGCATTCTAAGACAGATTACTTGTGATCAAAGTGGTCAAAAAGTTTGAGATTAGCATAAAATAATTTTTAATAATATCAGTCGATTCACTTAGCTACTGTTTTTATTAGCATTATCTATTTTACTAGGTTTTCCATAAATGTTTGTGAATCACAGTAAGTTACAACAAATGCATTGCCAACCATAAGATATAATATTTATATATTTATGTTGTAAATATCTCTTTCGTTGCACAGGCAATTCAGTGGTAACGTTTCAGACTGTGAAGTTGGGCTACGTGGGTTTGGATTTAATTGTGAACATTAATTCTTTCAATATTGTAGGTATGCCTTGTTGACGAGTGACAACTAACGCGAAAACTACGTCTTATAGCATTTCCTACTGATTAGCTCCAACCACATAACACATCGTATGATGTCTGTTTCCATCACAGAGTCTAAATTAAAAAGTATGACGAAAACGATTTCTTGCTTAAAAATAGGTAGTTAACAATGTGAAGAGAATTATTTATTTTATTTACTCATTTAAACACATAAACATTGGTAAAAGGAGGCACCAAATAGATATGTGCCACATAAATCATTCAATTTGTGTGAGGGCTGGGATACTGTCCGGGTGCCAAAAACGAAGTAGGTGGTTTTGTTAGGAGACCACACCAACAGCCTTCGACTTAAAGGTCTGATCCACAAGGCAGTGGATCAACGTCAGGAGATGCAGTCCCATGGTAGCCGATCACCAATGATCGGTTCACACGCCATTTGTTCCCTCAGGATAGTGGGGCCCATGTACACCATTGGTTTGGAATCGGGGTTTTCCAACTCCTCTAGGTGGATCCTCCGTGACCATCAACCCGGTTAAAGTGCCGGATGTTCGCTTTTCGTCATCTCAATTTCATAAACAACAATAATGCAGCGAGAAGGCAGTGAGTAGGACTTCCCTGGCAGTGGTTGGTATGCACGTGGCCATGTAAGAGCATTTCCAAAGGGAGAGCTGGCTCTCCCTACTGTCAGCCTTACCAGGGCATTAGGGAACAAAAATGAATTATAAACATGTGATTTCAGTCCTAACAAGATGAGGTTTAGACAAATATTAGCTTGGGATTCGATATACAAATGAATATTACTTTGACCTTCATTTACTATTATTGATCTCGGCTTTGGTTTGTTATTGAATTATACTTCAAAAAGTGCTTAGAGCTATGTTTAATTGTATGGTGTCTGCCTGTCTGTCTATCCACTTAATCTTATTGAATAAAATTTTCCTTGTTAATGATGTGATTTTTAATGTATAGTCGGGAAGAACTTAATATATTTGGATAGCACATTATAATAGTGATCACGATTATGAGTTAATTACTTACCAGGCAAATGGAATTTTCTGTTCTGAACATCCAGTATAAATTGGTTCATTTGATTCATTTTCATTTAATATTTTCTTATTTACTGTACATGATTCTAACGATCGAACTAAACCAAAATCAGCTATTTTAATTTGAGGGTATTCATTTTTTAAAATTGATGAAAGTAAAATATTTCTAGCTGCTAAATCGCGATGAACTAGTCCTTGAGATGTTAAATAAGCCATACCATGAACAATTTGAATAGCCATATCCCATAATGAATCAATTTGAAGAGCACGAGGTACAGATGGGAAATGTGCTCTTACTTCATTTGTTTTATTATAAGAATTATTATTATTATTGGCACATATAGATTGAGCTCTTAAATGTAATAATAAACTGCCTAATGGTGCTAATTCAGTTACCTGAAATAAAAGTATCACGAATGAAATTTCATTATATATATATATAAACAAAAATGGTGGTATAGATGACATTCAATATGTATGAGATGTTAAGAACAATGCATAAACTAACTGCTCTCAAAACATTTTCTTAATACGGCCACATAGATTGTAATTCTTAGCTATATAATGATCAAAATAAGTGATACATGAATCATAATAGCTATGATGTGATATGATGACTAAAGTCATAGTTGACTGAAGTGTGAGTAACCTAAAAAAATTTATTTCCTCTAATCGCTTATAACATTTATTCTTATTCTTATGTTAATGTTTTATATATAAGCATGTTGTTTAACGGAAAGGAAAATTTGTCCCTTTGTAGTGAACAAGAACACGGGTGGGGACAATCGAATGTATTTAGCACAAAATTACAGACTATCTCAATAAAATCTGAATACCATAAAGTAAATCGTCAATTTGCAAAATATCAATGCATCATATCAAACTGGACTGTTTCCGTTGCAAACACTAATCCATTGTCTCCCATTCGATTAAACATGCGCTTTCTTACAAATTCCATTGTGCTCTCGCTCTTCCTTTCTTGATCTTCACCTCATCTTCTGCAGCCAGATATTACGTTTTAACTCGCGACATATACTACTTATATCAATATAAGTAGCACACACCACACCATTTGGTAGCTCTCTTAACCTGAAAATATCAGTTCAATTTGCGTCTTGATTCTGTTTTGCGAGTAACAGTCATTTGGCTTATAAGTATGACTTTATATCATCTATTAATGGAGGTTCTTTTCTTTCATTTTTTAACGGTTGAGAATTCATTAATTAAAGCATAAGATCCTATTCGATGAACGAAGCCAATCAAAAGCCAATACACTTTTAAGGAATAAAAAAAACTTTTTCATTCTTCCATTCCTTCCCTCCATTCCATCTCTTTGTTTATTGTATGATAACTCTTTTACATATATATTCTATATCTTGGAGTAGAAGGCATGTAAAATTAATCTAACTCGAATGTCATTGATAATATTATTAGATCTCTTATCTTCTAGGTTTATTTTCATTTAAATACTTCTTCTAACGACATCAAATTGTAATGAACTCTGTGTTCAGTTTGATAGCCTTTTTATATCAAAATATAGATCTCTTTTATAATGAGTAACAAATAACTTTACATTCCGACCAGTTTTGTATCCACGTTAAGTAAGCCTAACCACTGTGTTATAAGATAAGTTCACAATCAGAAAATAAATAATTTGCCGATCCCAAATTTGTATATTTGGCTTAGAGTTACATCTCTGTGCAAGGTTCGAAACTTAATGGATTCGGGAAAACAAAAGAGAAAATTTTCTAAAATATAATACCGTAGAATAAATTACCATCATAATTGGATTAGATAGTACAATTCCATAAAGACGGATTAAACTAGGATGTGAAAGACATTGCATCGCACGAATTTCATACAAGAATCCTGTGAATAAATCGCTTTTCATTGCTTCTGGTTTTAATAATTTCACAGCCACAGGAATCTGTAAGAACAAAGGTTTTTATTAAAAACAATTAAGCTGAAGACACAATCATTAGCTTTTTAAAAAAAATTGAAGAAAAAATCACCTTACCTATCGAAAATATTGATAATCTGGATAGCTACATGACACAAAAATATACTTGGAACCCTTCTAGGGTTGCTGCTTGTCTCGAGCCCGGGCAAAGGTGAAGGATTGGACATGGGGTTAGAAAATAAACCTCGTAAATAAAATCTGACTAAAACAACTTTAGCCCGAAAGAAACATTTAAATTCTGGTCTGGGAGTTAAAGGATCTTCATATATAAGAGTTATCATGTCCCTTATAGTGTAAGCCGAGATTCTTTGGAAGCTAGGAGGACGATACCTCATCTTGATGGATGATCTTAACGCCAAGGTCGGGATGGACAACAGCAAGTATGAACGTATCATGGAGAGACCTAGACTGTGGTAAAGAAACGACCATGGTGAGGGAATGGTAAACCTACGTGCTTTCGACATTGTCATAGGGAGATCTGTTCTTCCCCAAAAACCCATTCGCCAGGCCATATGCGCTTCACACTATGGAGAACCAAATTGATCACATCTTCATAGCGTAAGAACAGAGATGAGCTGATACATATTCAGACCATCATCTGGTGATGGTAAGACTAAAACTAAAGCTAGCGAAGCACTGAACAACTGGATAGGCAGCACCGTGAAAGCTTAATACAACCTTTATTCGACTTGCTGACAAGCTCACTGAGTTCAGTACATATCTCAGAAACAAGTTCAAAGCCTTGCAAGATCTACTACAAGAAGACGAAATTATAGAAGGCAAATTGAAAGAGATTAAAGAAGAAATAACTTCAACATCCCACGAAGTACTGAGCCCCCAAGAGGCACCAACACAAAAAATGGATCTCTGTAAACAGGCTAGATAATATTCAAGAAATGAAACACCAGAAGACAGTAGTTAATAACAGCTGAACAAAGGTACAGAAAGCCAAGACACAGGTAGAATATACAGAAGTAAACAAACGAGTGAAGAATAACATCGGAGGTGACAAGTGGAAATATGTAAAAGACTCGGAAAATACGGAAAAGCTAAAAGAAAAGTAAATGTGAGAGAACAGTATGACACAACCAGGAAGCTTTCAGAGAGACAGGGCATAACATATCGACCACTCGGGAAGAAGGAAAGCAAACCAATCACTGTGGTCTCAAGGTAGTAATAACAGGCGGGTAGAATACTTTAAAGAGCTCTTCAATAGACCACCACCACTGAACACATCGGACATTTATGGAGCACACACAGAGCTTCCTATAGACGATACAACACCAACAACAGAGATTAGCAAGGCCCATCAAATAAACTAACAATGGCAAACCATCATGACTAGACACCATACCAGTCAAATAGAGAAAGCTGAATAGATGTCCCACGTCCTCTGAAGGAATAGCTGAGAGGTAAAACAAATACCAACAGATTGGAAAGAAGTGTATCTCTTCAAAATACCGAGTAAATGAGATCATAGTAAGTATGAGGACTACAAATGTATGACACAACTGGTTGTTGACTGGATTATGAAGATATCCATATGTCAAGAGAAGCATAGATGGATGATTTGGACTTTTCAGATGACAGCTGCTCTATCCCATACACAGTAACAAAAGCATATGAAAACTACCAGTGTAGCAGCGGCCTCTTCAGAAAGAGGCGTTAACATTCACCGAGGAAAACGCAAGATCCTGAAGTACAACAGTGAACACCGAATAAACCAAACTTGATGGAGAAACTCTGGAAGAGGTGAAAGCTTTTATGTATATGGGGAGTATTGTTGTCAGATATAGATGATTTGAGTCAGATGTAAAGGGATGAGTTGGCAAAGCAGGGATAGCATTCCCAAAATTTAAGAGAACTACCAGCCAAGACAAAAGTCAGAATTTTCAACACCAACATTCAAACCGTTTTATTGTATCAAGCAAAAACTTAGAGAACTACCAAAGCCATTAAGAATGTAGGGGTATTTATAAACAGTTGTCTCTCCAAGATACTCCAGATCCATTGGCCAGAGAACAATAACAATAACCTACCCTGATAGAGCAAAAATCAGCTATCAACTGAGGGCGAAATAAGAAAGACACTAAGGGTGAATAGGACACTTTACGGGGCCCAATGGACCGCATCACAAGGCAAGGCCGAATTTGGAATCCTCAAGACAAAAGGAAAAATGATAGACCAAAGAACACATGACGTTGAGGACTGAACATAGACGTCAAGACCATGAAAAACACCTGGCAACAAATGGAGAGCCCAGGGAAAGTTGCGTGGAAGTCCTGATTGGCAGCACACGTCCCAGAAAAGACAACACACTTAAACGAATGAATGAGTGGGTGAAACACTCGGATTATTTGAATTTTTATACTGGGATTACGTATTTTAGGGTTTGAACTGGATAATCATGAATTCCCACTGTATGTACTGACACGTCACCATGAGGTTACAAACTATTGCAAAACTAAATGGTGAAAAACTTACAGTTTCGCCCGTCGGCACAGTCCAGTCACCACGCCGTACTATGCCAAACGAACCAACTCCAATTCTTGAATGGAGTTTGATATCCTTCTCAGGAATAAGACATGTGAATGCAGCGGAGTTAGTAACAACATTCTGACGACTATTTTGAGAAAAACTGGTGGAACGGCCAGATACTTGATGCTGGCTCCAATAAGAAGGTTGTATCGGGAACTCTTCTTTACACTGATGTTCCAGTCTATGAGCTGGTGATACTGGAGCACTAGTATGGGACTGTTTTCCTCCAAACAGCTAGAACAAAAACGAAACCATATGGTATTTAGAGAACCCAGCTTACATGGTTACCTCTATTCATTCAATGGTAGAATTTGATGTCTACAAATTCAAAGTATGTATTGGAAAATAGGTGTTTAGAAGATATCGGAGGGACCGTTGAATCTAAGTTTTACTCTGGCTATCATTCGTCAGCAAATCGTAACCAGAATGTAGGGAGGAATTACTCCACCTTAAAAAATTTAACCAGCATCACTCAGTGACTCAAAAGTTGCAACCGACTTCCTGAACGACCGCAGTGATTGGATTTTCAATCGGTGCATTAGGGACAACCTAGGAATTTTCCAACCATTCAGTGAGGAGCATATTCTGACCTGTAATTTTATTGACCAAAGGTCAATTTCAAAACGTTTATCATCTAATTAAACATACGTACAACTTCTTACAGGCTCTAACTTAGAGTCTTACAGATTACTTTCTCCTCTTATTGTGTTCAGTATTGAACATTTCATCACATTTCACAAACACAATTTACAACAACGAAGACTCCATTCAACGAATCTAAGATCAATCCTGAAAAATAATATCACAGTTGTTTAGATATTTTTGAAGTACTATTTACTGTATCTGAAGATTTTTAAAGTGAATAAACAGTAAAAACAAGTTACAATTCATATTCTGTGTTTTTAAACCTTTCGTGAAATAAAAACTAAACTTTAAGAACTTAAATTAGATACTTAGTATTCGTTGTAAAACTAATGGAGCTCTCATAGTCGTCAGTTTATTTCTGATTTATTGACAAGTTAGTGGGCTACCTTTCTATTTACCTTAAATAACCTAAAGTAGAACATAATTTTTCAACAACAGTGAAAATCAGACTATTTGATAGAAAATTAAACACAAGTGGCATCACACGTTTATGGCAAGCTATCTAGTGAAAATCATAACAAGCAATACAACCTAAAATTCAAAGAGTTCTGATGAACAGCTACTCACTTTACGTAGCAGTTTCGATCGGTGAAAATCAGCAGCAGAATGTGGTTTCGGATCTGGCCATGAATAGGAATAGTCTGTATATCCATCCGATAGCAAATTCTTTACTGAAAACCCATCCTCTATTAGCTGATTAACAAGTCGATTGATTTCGTTTTCTGTCATTCCAAGACAAGCTAAGTCAGTAGGTTTAACCCGGTCAAAATCGTCAGGGCTAAGGGGTTTGAAAGGAAAAGCCTGTAATAGTCAACAGTAAGTCTCTACAATATACTAAAATTAGGCTTCATATACCACTTTCTAAATTAAACAATTGCACGACTTTTTATCAGGAAACATAAACAAACTTATATCACCAAACTCCTAACGATCACTTCTGGGTTATTTACATAGACATATCGTTTGTTCTCTTTTATAAAAAGCATAGCGAAGAAAATCTCAAAAGGAATTAACTACATAGAAAGAGAATAATGACTTAGTCAGCTTACAGAAGATAGATAACTATACAAAATATATGACGGGAATCCTTGTCATTTTTAATTTTACAGGATGCTTAGGTGTAAACCTAATCTACGCTAAACTAAATTCGAACAAGATATGTGAATTGCACATTTTTACTTTACATGGCTTTGTATTTGCCAGCGATATATATTAAAGGAAGTGCGAATTTTCAGTTTGCGATCTTTTGCTAGTATTCATAACACAGATACACAAGCATGATGAACAAATTGATAAATAACTGTACAAGTTACAATACTCCACTTAAGAAGTGTTAGCAACAAAATAAGAGAAATAGTGATTTTAAAAATAAAAATCATAACAAAGTAACCTAGAAAAAATGAATAAATATGAAATAGCAGAGAGTTTATGTGAAGTGGTGTCCGTTTATTAAAGAAACTAGCTTCCAACCTGTATGTTACAAGCTTGAACCCCAGTTTAGCTACTTTGATTTGAATAGTTAAGTTGTACCACTAGCCATCACAAACAATCTAGTTCAACCCCTAGTACATAAACTTGTATTTTGTAAATGAGTTGCAAGTGAACAATTAGTAGTGAACTGTGCTGAAACTTTTAGAAGCATTACGTATGTCTTAAGTCGTACTGTGCCTTAAGGAAGACGGTCGAGATATATGATACACTTCAACTGCCCTATTTGGGGGAGGGATGCAACCAAAAAAAGAACTTTCATTTACACAAAGCCCCAGCTTAATACCAAAACTAATAATACACCGACATTATAATAATCCAGGGGTATTTTGCATTTAGCTACTGCAGTCATAATGTTGGATGCTGATCATCATATTATTATGTAATTGTCATCTTAATAGTCATCATAATGTTTTGGTGGTGGAGCTTTGAATTAGGTGCTTGGACAGTAAGCTTTTAACAACTATTTCTACATTTCAAAAGCCGTCAGAGGGGTACAGCTGAGACAGCTTAAGAGGGGTAGAAATCTAAATGAACTCAACCAGACGAATAAACTGTTTTGTTTGTTCGCAGACTCGAACTCTACATAAGCGTACTTTACTACGATTGTGAAAAATGATTTTTTACAGGTCTTTTCGACTTTGGATTTAGTATATATAGCTTACCGAGCCCAATAAGAATAATCCTATTTTCATTAATTAGATCAAGTTGGTAGAACTTAAAGGTCTAGAAGTTATTTGTGTTGGGCTAATGTTTCTCCAGAAATCTATTCAACATTCTTGAAGGTGCTTTCCGGTGGTATCGAATAATTAACCCCAGCAACAGTTATGATTTCTATAGTGAGAGCTATGGTTTGCACATTAAAACAGAGGACCCTTGGTGGAGTGCTTCACAACTTCGGACTACATACCTGCTGTGAAATTCAGATAAGGCTGTCTGAACGATGGAGTGGAACGAAACAATACGAATCATCAAACAAAATGACAAGTGAAGTTTAAACGGTAATTCAGTAATAAGTAATGAAATCTAAACTATGACTCAAAAAGATTGTAGTTACTACGAACTCTAAATCATTTACATAACTGAAAATGTGTTCGAAAGGAAATTCAACAATGTGATGATATCAAATTGAAAATGATATTTACAAAACTGATGTAGTGGGACTCACTCATTTATTTTTAATTTCTTCTTAATGGCATTGAGGAAGTTCCGAAGGTGAGCACGTTCAAGAAATACAGACAACTTCTCACATCGATCTTAAGAAGTTATAAGAGAAAAAAGTGCATACCTGCCCAGGGATAGTAAACCCTTTCAGTCATTACCAAGAAGCTGGTAAAATGAGTTGTTTGAACGTGATTTAAAACACTGTTCGTTGATGTTTGGAAAAATTCAAACACAGGATAGAAAAATGAAAAACAGATACAGATGAAAATCGAAGTGTGTTTCTAGCACTGGTTTTTAATTTATTTTCACCAACAGAACTTTACGTTGAGAATAACTATTGATATTACTTCTCAGAGCAACAAGTTAATAATGCGAATAACTTTGTAAGATGTTAAAAACTAAACTGATGTTGAGTCCAATATTGGCCAACGAAATCTCTCTAATCATTTTCAAAAACCTGCTTTTCTGAAACAAATGAAAGCCAGTAGTCAAATATTACCAATTTGGCGTAAGTTTAGGAGCATTAATATGTCACATAAACAACTATCAGTCCAAGTGGTGTATCAACAAGCACTCAATTATTAGTAGTTCGACTGGAAACTAGTTTGAAAACATTATTAAAATTCAGGACCTTGTTATAATTTCTCATATTATGACTCAGGTATTGCTATTGCTTAGTATTCTTGGACACTAATTCACTCGAAATGTCTCCCGATCAGAACACGGTTGATCAGGAACGAAATTATATTCCCAATAACAAGGGTAGATAGTTGTAAGAAGCACAATAACAAAAACGTTAGTATATTTATGGTTTTTACATGAGTTTCTAGAGTCCAATCTAATTAAATATATAATCTGCTAACAGACCGCATAAAAAATTATTCGGTTGGTGGTATATCTTCGGAGGTGGGTTTTAATGAAAAGCTAAACCGACTAATTATGCATCGTCATTTGTATTATTGATCCGGAGAACCGATCGATAGCAAAGTATGTTAAGAATAAGGTATTTCCACGGCATATGTTTAAACTTCTTCGGCATGTTCAGTACGCATACTGAATTCATCTAAACTACAATTACTACTAATGAAACATTGGTTTAGAAGTTTTTAATGAAATCGTATACTATATTAAAATTTAGGTTAATGGGTCATCATCAACATGGAACCTGGCACATATATGTATCAACTCAAGTCAGCACATCACAGCACGGCAAAATAGAATTACCGAATTCAATACCAAAGTCATAGGATCAGCGGTAGTAAAAGAAGACTTAGAAACTAGGATGTGACTCAACAATGAATTAATTCACAAGTTAAAATGCATAAGATAATTTTGAAACATGATTTAAGGGATATAAATGGAAATAACTACACCACTATAACGGATTCTGAATTATGTCACCCGTCTCCAACCATTAGTCAAGAGAACAATACGGACCCTAATCAGATAGTCTAAATCTAGGTGAGCGACTTGCTTCAAAAGCCAATAAATTTATGGGCATATAGCTCGTTTGGTTTTGCCACAAAATATTCCAAAATATTTTTACTCCAGCAAACATTATGTGTCAGACTAAATGATAGGGGCATAAAACATATCCACATCGTTTAATGAGGTTTATTGATATTACCAGCCGGTTTCCCGTGTCTGTCTAGTATCATACGTGTAACCTCTACGATGCGTGAATAATCCTTCACATAAATAATCGACTAAAACCCTGTAGCCTACCTATGTCTTTTAAATTTATGGGCTATTTCACAGACAGGACAATACAAACTCGACCGGTGTGTAGCATACTTTGGTGGTAAGTAATGCACGTTGGTTTTAAGTCAACCGGACTACTGAATCCGTACTGGGATATTGTTAGCCAGGAACCCATCGAGGCTGACTGAACTCCCACAATAAGTGACGTGGTTCATGAGGCAAATTGCTTCACTTAGCATGTCTAGATGATGGCGTTGATATGTTCTGAAGGAGTATTTAGTATTTAAATGAATGCTAAAGATTGGTGCGTCGGAAAACCAGAGATGTTATTCGAGTCTTTAGCAAACAGTACTATAACACTTATACCCTCCTAGTTGAAAATTAAGTCTGATAGGAAATAAATCCCCGAAAGGAAGGCATTATCTTCAAAGAATCTCAACGAAACAGAAAAAATGAGAATAATGTGTAGTCTGATTAACACTATTATATGTTCCCAATTTTTATGACACAGTCACAAGCGCTGACTCAACCAACCGAGTTCGGATAAGGAGGTTTTCCAAAGTTCATGAATCCCTTCGACACACTTTCAATAAGAGTTACTTTTTTATTTCACTTGTGCCGCAGCTAGTGAGGAGTTGTAGTGAGAATGTCGAAAATCGCCATATAGAAAGTCTTTGTATGAGCTAAGTAAGTGTGATTCAAAGAAGACGTTAGTTGCGGTGTTTCTGGTTACACTTGTCTGAGAAAATTGCTAAAAAGCCTGTCCTGAAATACACAATCTGATTCAACACTTACAACGCTACACTTACTCTCACCGGGTTGCTCAAACTCCAACTGATTTATCTTGGGTGTCGGCTGTGAAGATTTTATTTGGGCTTAAAGGCATGGTTGTTTGGATATGCATATTTCACAGGCAACATACAGTCCATAAAGAAAAAATATGTGCTCTTCGGCATACCTTTTGAGGTGTTTATATATCAGGAGCTGGTTTTGACACTGTGGCAATATTTTTCAGTCAGTTCAAAAAAATGATCTACCAAAGAAGTAACCAGGACTGTGCATATATGATTGCTATCAACAGTTCCAACCTTAGTAACAAACCACTTCAAGAATACCGCCTGACGCAATTCAAAAGCAAACCACAAACTTTGTGAACTGAATATATTTTTAGAAGTTTCGCCTTAGTTACGAGAACATAATATGAATAATTCGCTTATGTAGGAATCTGAGAGGACAAAGCATTCTAAACAGCAAAATAAATCTTGGAGAGCAACTAGTGCATCTTCCATAGTAAGGGTAATTTATGTTCTACTGACATCATTCAACCATTCCAAACCTCATCATAATGTAAGTCTTTCTGTAAAAAATCCATACTAGTGCTCATATTAGGCTAGTGAGGAGGCACATAATGCCACTAATTAAAAAGATTTGTAAGCATTCGATATGAATGCTAATCATGTTAGTTCTACACTAATAGGTGAAGAGGATCTGTCAAACATCGGAACGGAATCACATTTCGAATTACCGTGATATGTATCTGTAGAACGTAGGATCACAATAGCTATTATTGAACCTACTTATTTAACTGGGTTATCATTATCAGTCTAGTATAAAGACTGTCCATGATGTGACTGTTTTATATATATAACTTTATGCTGAATTCATTGTAATATCCAAATTTTTAGATTTGGATCATTTGAAACACGAATATTTGGTAGATTAACAACCATCAAATAAATAACCAAGAAACCTAAACTTGAAGAATAAAAAAGTTCAATGTTATTTATATATTGTAAATCAAATTACAATGATTGTCATGACTAACTTTGAGGGGAAAGTTTGCAAACTAATCTTTCAAACAGAGTGAAAAAGACAAACAGAAAGCAATATTATTATTATTATTATTATTCGGGCGAATTTATCCGCAACGCAACCATGTAAACTTAATGTATCGCCAAGTGTAATAACGGTCATCTGTGCGTTCAAGTAACCACAGATTTTGTCGTTTCATAAGGTTCTTAATTAAATAACCAGATTATGTTGTTAATTTTGCTCTGTTTTTGATTTTTATTCGCCACGTCTGACTGCGTTACACCGTACGTTCATTGCACGCTGGGATGATATCCCAGGTCATAGTTTAATCACATAGTTTATTGTTTCCAGATAGACCGTCAGTGCATGATGTTACTGAAGAAAGGTTTGTTGTACTGTATACTATCCTTTTATGAACAACTGACTGATGTCTTCAGCCTGAAAGCAATATATATATATCCTTTGTCTTCTGTTAGGTAAGTTCGACTGGCCTATATTTCGTGTTTTGGTTTTATCGGCTTAATTATATCCATTTAACTACTTTGAGCAACATGTCTGTGCAAATGAAACAATAATTATGACACTTGCTTAGTTTAGTGTTCTTGGTTGTTGTATAGTTCAGTCTAGTCGGAAGAATTACGGTACACTTAAGTATGGTGCTTGAAGCCTGTAACGAAACAGATCAGTTTAGCAAATAGAGCTGCCTGTTCCTAGTGAGTATACTGATTGAAATCAGTCTGAATAAAAATAGGGAAAAAATGCCTTTGGTACTGTTGCTGTCATACATTATAAGATAGCTTTAAGTATGTTTGGTGTTTATTTCTAGTCTGTACATCTATCACTGACCATATTTCAAGACCACTGTCATTAAACAATTTCCCCAGCAATAACATCGGTAGCAGGATAGCTAAGCGTCTGAGCTTGTATTCGCCTGCAGAAGAGCAGTATACAGTCTTAGAAGATGAGTGTTCTGTGTCTCAATTAAATGTAGCTGGCCGTGGATAAATGTTAAGAATCTTTTAGACAACTGGGACTTTTAGTTTGTCAGACACTAACTCTGCTTGTATGTCTTCCTGTTAAACTAGACTCAGATGCATGGGAATACTTAAATGGGAGCAGAGTAATAAAAGCATTGCGATACGGTACTAAACCCATGTGATGCTTTGCACAAGTAATAATAGCTGACCTGATCTAATATTTATGAACTCAAGGTAAATCACAACTGCATAAATTCTTTGCTAAAAAACTTGTAATTTGGTTATTTATCTATTCCACATTTCTGACTAAATTCATTACCATTTTCTCGTTTAGATTGCAACAGGACTGAGTCTTCACGGATCCTAAGAACTGTTTCGCCCTTAGAACTATGGCCCTATGAAACTGTTTACGGGAGACCCAACTAACAGCAGATTATAAAAAGGATGCTGGACGTCCATTTTAGTCTCACAACAACTTCCAGTACTTTTTGAGTTACTTCTTTTACCCTTTCGTTTGGAAAAAACAACAAAGACTGAAGCTTAACATTACCAATGCAACTTTTAAACGGGAACTTCGTTCAAATCTTTGTTTGATATTCGATTCTTAATGAAAGTTCCTGAATAAATTTTTAAATCTAATGCTACTTTGTTTTATTTACTTAATCGTTGCAAGAAACTTGCGATACACGAGCCTCGCAGCACCTAGTTCATATGTAGTAAATTTAAGTGATTTAGTACATATTTTCGTCATTTTCTTGTGAAACCTACAGACTCGGGTCCTCTCATAACTTATTCTAACCACCATGAGTTGTCACGGCAGCTGATGGACACGCGTTATACATCCTAACCGTACCTGCGACTAATCTCAAACTCTCCACTCAAATGCCATATGATAGGCAAGCAATGCCCCTACCCACACTAATGGAACACTAGTAACTCAAAGCCACCCTGTATGGTACCTTACATCGGTCTACGCACTCGCTTGGCTCTTTAGTGAGAATATTACTACAGTCCTGCTAAAAATCCCATGAACCCCCCTATCTCCATGAAAACAAATTAGTCTGTATTTGCTGCATATAGCGATTTTATTTTTCAGAACTAAGATATAACGGTTAGAATTAGAGTGAAATGGCAGTATACAGCAGATGCACGTGGTACATGTCTTCATCAATTAACTGAAATAGAGAATACGGATATTAGCTTAACAGGCTTATTTAGAAAGACTAGTGTCTACTTTGAACTTACTGCGTGGGAAAGTTATACTGGAACTACGAGTAGTGTAGGAATCTAGTCTCCCAGGGCGTACGAAGCACTCAAACTGGAAGACAGCTGTCCAAAAATAATTCGTATATGAAGGTGAGAATTCGCAGGTACTTTTCATCGTAAGGGTGAACATATTAGGAAAGGTTGACACCATACCGTAAAAAAACACAAATTTACGAGTGGTGAAATATCATCTATAAAAAAGTGAGCTTAATAATAGTTAATTACCTTTTTGCTCCCTGATCATGACCTTTCGACTTCCTTTTATGGTCAAAACAGCAAACATACACTATACACTGATAGCAGATTTCCGGCTTCTCAATGTTAAGCTTGCTTTAACGCACTACGTAATGAGTACAACCCCTCCATTACTGCTATATGACATATTTTTCATAAAAAACCCTCTGCAATAGATTGATAGCATCTGTGAATTCATCTATGGTTATCGGAAGTCTGAGTTCTTTCGAAAGCAATACTGATATCCCCTACTGCTGGGCACTCTGTATTAGTTTGACTCGTTGGTGTGATAATGTTGTCCATAGTACTGAAGAAAATCGAAAACCGGAGATTGTTTCCTTTCATTTCGCCGATAACATCATACAGGACAGTTAGGAACGAACATGCAGACAGTTAGTCACAGGCGGTAGCAACAATTATTTTAGCTAAGAAACGAGCTTCGGCTTTGGATATCTAGAAAACAAGTCAAAACAAAACCGATAAGACTAGCCAGCTTGGCTGAAGAAATATATTGACTTCAGTAGTAGCAGCCAAAACTCAGAAAATAAAGCGAAATGAGGAAAAATTTGCTCCAACATTCAGAGTATTACATTAACTTCTGCATTTTAGCACACTGAAACATTAAATTCTGTAGCTACACAAAAGAAATAGCTGAAAAAAGCACAGAACGAAGAAAGCCGACAGCTATTGCTTACAAAGATGGCGGATATAATAATTCCCGCCTCATTCTGACTGGTTGTTAAGCTGAAGGCCAGATTTACGAAATTGAGTTGCGTTTAATAGCAGCCCTTTATTCAACATAATATTTTTGCTGAAATATAGAAGTTTCAAAACATGGTATTTCAAAATGTTTCTTGCACAAACGAAGAAATGTATGGAAAAGTCGATAACTGCATACATAAATACATTGGTTAAACAGATAAACTACCTGAGTTTATATGGAAAGTTTTGTTTTAAAAAGATCTAAAGCTGTACACTTTTTTAAATCAGAATCATGTTTCGGGATATCCATTAATGACCAGCGGCCAGTGATATGTCACTGAGCCCTAGCCAAATCATCCGGCAGTTGGATCACTAAATGTCGAACAGATCATCGCTCCCTGCCAAGGTCAAGTACAACCAACGCGCATTAGTTAATCGTATGCCATGGACTGGCTCATGCGGCAGTGCTCTTACTTTCGCTGGTATCTACTTTAACTAATATATTTTTGTATTACCGTCCTCTGTGTTGTTCAGTCTTCAAAGTATCTATGGTACCTTGATGCGTCGATGGGGTAGTTTATGTAAAGCGCTGACCACGATGTGTGACTTCGACGTTAGCTAGTTTGTCACACTATTCAGTTCTAACTCGATTAGGCGTCCAGTCATTTCGACATAGATCATCTACGTTGGTGATTTACAACATGAAGAGGTAGAAATCGGCATACATACAGTGAAATCGTTGGCATATTCATTAAAAGTGTTTTCTGTGGAAGATGGAAAATCATGAGAAAAGAAACAGGAAAGTAGAAAGGAAAAAAACAGCTTCTTGTGGCACACCTTCATGAGTCACAAACACTCAACCAGTTATCGCTCCTGATGTGTCTCGTGCCTGGAAGTTCTTTAAGTAGTTTCCCTATCTTTGGAGAGTGTTTGGAATATATGATTTTCTGAGTAAACACTGAGTTTAGACGTCTAAACTCGAGGTTTTTATCAGACCACTTGACTTTCGAACTTTGATGCAATTTTTCTCCGTGTACATTCTTCCTTTTATTCCATCGTAATCGTTTTAATTGTTGTGTAAGCTGACCCAAACTTACAAAAGTGGTTTCAGTGGGACAACAAATATCAAGGCAGAATTT